GAATTTTGCTGGCAGGAGCCCATTGAGAGCAGTGCTAAAGCCCCACGTCTAATCGTTGCAGTTATCCCTGTCACGTGAGGATGAGTCAGRGCCTTCAGCCTGAAGTCTTCATTGGAGCAGGCAGTTACTTAGCGTTAAACTATTAACAGAAATATTCCTCCTGTTGTCTGCTCGCACGAGGCAGATAGCAGCCGTACAGCAAGAGTTTCCATGGCTAATCCGCTCGGCGAAAGTTTATGTCACTTCTTGTCATCGCTAATCCGCTCGGAAAAGTTTATGTCACTTCTTTGTGCAAGTCAGTGGTGGGGGGAATGGGTGGCTGCTTCTCCTGCAAATGCTGATTTGGAAAAGAGGAGAGAAGCAGCAGGAGCAGAAACCCTTCCCGCTGCTCCTCGGGGAGGGACGGGGCCGTCGCTGTGGTTTGGGGGGAGGTTTGAGGGGAGCCACCCGCTCTCCGGGGCCAGGGGCTCCCGCAGCAGCCCTGGCTTTGCCTGAGCGTGGGCCGTGCACAGACGTCCTGCAGAAACATCATAAAAAAAGTGATTTAAGAAAATTGGCCTCAGAATGCAGTGGGTTGGCCTATCCCTAGCCGGAGCGTGGTAGTTAACATGGAAGGATTTGGGGTGTGGGGGGGCTGACTCTGCCCTTTTGGGAGGTTTGCTCTCCTTTCCAATTAGTCCTGGCAAGAGAGGCATTTGGAGCAAGCCAAGATATGAGAACTGCAGCAAACAGGAAACCTGTGGGATGCCACCTCTTTGATGTGTCCCACACTCTGACCGAGCAGTTCATCACCATAGCGAGCGTGTGGATCAAACTGGCTTCATTTCCACCCTTTAGTCCCTGTTACATTTCTTCGCTGAGCAAACTCGTTGAAGGTTTTCCTCACTAAAGGAGGAAAAAATRTAGCAGTTGTGAACAGACCATTCCTCTATGTTTGGTTCCGCTAAGATGTGAGAAATGACTCACAGCGAGAAGTACTTTAGCAGGTTATGTCAGGTCAGTGTTGAGTTGGTTGTACTTTAATCTGATCAGTCACAGTTGTTTGGGTCTGTCTGTTTTAAGCTTCTTCCAGTTGTTTTTATTTACCAAACATTCACTTATCTCCGGACACTGGAAACACCAAGTATTTCAATCAGCAGTTTCGGTGCTTGCAGGGTAGTGGCTGCAGCATGCGGGTCATTCATAGCCTTGCACRAGGCTGGGCGCAGCAGTTGGAGAAAGACCTTCCAGCTTGGCAGGAATCCTGTACGTGGCTCATCCTGTYGCCTTGAGAGGTTCTCGCCTTGTGCCAGGGCCAGGCCTGGTTTCACAGGGCAGAAAAGATGCTGTTGGAATAGGGCAAAGCTTTAGAAAGAGTAACAGGCAGCCGTGGTTGAGTGTGTTCAGAGAACGTAAAATGGCCGCGCTCGCTGTGCACCAGCCTTTGAAGCAGCCTGCASCTGATTAACTGCTGTCTCCCTCAGCAGAGCGATTAAACCCTTGATRCTGGCATAGCCAAGCTGCGCTTAGAGCTGCCTGCAGGTTCCTTGTCRGCAGCCGGCTTCACACGTCATCTCTCGCTCCCCGAATCCAGAAGAACTGGGCTGCAGTTGTGGTYCCTTTTGGGCATGTTTTATAGTCCGTGGGCTGCCTTTTCAGAAGGCTGAGGATTAATTCCTATTGCAGTCTATTCTAGCATTTCTCTTTTCGTGCTCATGAGCCCTGGTGCCGTCCTTGGGACAGAGCAGCAGTGGGGCTGCGCTGAGCCCCAAAGCTCTGGGGTCTGCAGCAGGACCCTCCTTACCCTGTCGGCCTGAGCGATGGGCTGCCCTCCGAGGCGGCGTTGGCTGAAGAAGGAGTTTCTAAAGACTGTGTAGTCAGTAGGTCGGGATGTGCTGGACTTGGTGGCTGCCGCACGTGCAGACGCTCTGGTTACCCCTGCAGGTTGCGCTGGACCTCCTGGGCAAGAAGCTCCGCTCAGTTGTGGTCAGTCCCAAGAACCTGCTCCTGGCTCTGGGCCTGCTTTCCTGTGCTCTTTCTTAGGGGTTGTGCCCAGMTGGCAAGGCTGGCACGTGTGCCAGTCAACCTGAGGAGGTGCGTGCGTCCCCTCTTCTGAGCGGGCACGTCCTTCAAGGCAGAACAGGCAGAATGTGCGMGCGGCTGAGGATGTGTTTGTGCAGTTATTCTGTGTGTGAGCTTTGCCTGGGCTTGATTTTATTGTAAGCTTGAATTAGAGCTATTAGGTACCATTAGCAGTATTTTTAAAGCTCATTTAGTTCCCTGGTAGTCAAGAGTTTTTGCTAATCCTTGCGGAAGCCTTGACAGTAACATGATTTCTGACACAGGGCTTAATGAGCAGGTCATTTCTCAGTGCTACCAGCTGCACATATGAAGCTGAAGTGGTTAATCAAGTTATTTGAGCAGATTTCAGCAGGATTAAGAATTAACTGGACTTCATCAAATTTTCCAGCTGAGATGCAGAACGGGGTTTTTCTTCTACTCAGAACAGTGAGTTAACATGTAACAAAACAGGTTATTTCTTTCAGGCATAGCTTGTAACTTAAGCTTAAATGGTGCATACACAGGTATTTTCAGTGCAGAAATGGCCACAGGTTGCTGGCACAAAACTGTTTTCCAGAGCRTGTGAACTCTCTGTAGAGCAAATCTTAATTTTCTGCTTGCAGTGAGGCAGCCTGTCACCTCCCTGGAGCCGAGTTTTGTGTTCAGCCTGAGCAGGGTTTGGCTGTATGTAAGAGTCCTTCAAAACACAATGAAAAATGGTATTAACCTAAGCAAGGCTGCACGTGACAGTGCCTGGCTCCAAGTGTGAATTTTGGGGTCCAACCTGGCTGAATGATCWGTGGTCACAGTAGGACTGGGCCTCTGGGAGCAGGAGATGCTCAGGTCTGCCTTGGACTTTATCACCAGCCTTTTAATCCTTCGATGAGTATTCATTCAAAAAGCTTTTAAAGAAAAAAAGCTTCTGAAAAGCCCTGGCTGGCAGTGCTGTGTTTATCTCATTATTGCTTCACGTGGATTAGGAGTGAGACAGTAGGTTTAGATATCCCCAAACTTAAGTGAAATTCAGTTCTGGGTCTGAATCTTTTACCTGGGACCCATCTCCTGGTGAATCTGAAACCACTGCTCTGTGCTGGCAGCTGCAGCACACGAAATAAATATTCAATGTTTTACTTGAAAGGGTGGTTATGGTAAAGGGAGTGACTGTAAAAATGGCATCTCTTGCTCAATGGATATGCTCCCTCTCCATCCTTTGGGTGTTTGTGCTGAAATCCTGCTGATCTGCATTAAATGTTTGGTATGGTCAGTGTTGCAAAACCAGTGACACTGTGGTGAAAAGAGCTGAATTTGGCTCTGTGCATCATCGGTAAAAGTATCTGCTGTTTGCTAGTGCAGATGTTTTATAGCTGGGTGATGAGCCAAAAGGCAGAATAAAGCAGCTTGATTTTTTCCTACTAAAGAAAGATTTTCAGTCCTGAAATAAGAAAAATTGCTCRGAGGGTGTTTAAACTAAGCCAATCCAGTCCAGAATTGCCTGAGAGAGTAAATCTGAACCCCCCTTCATGGCATTTTAACATCAGCCCCCTTAAATAACATTGTCAAACACCAGTTTCTAGGGTGTTTTGCAGGCAGAATGTTGGCATTTTTGCTTGACTCATGCTTCTTGTTCATTTAAAGCTACACTGATAAATTCCAAGTTGATCCAAGCAAGAGTAAATTTGAGGGCTGAGCAATGGAGCAATAAGGTTGCAGGAACAATAGAGCGTGCAATTTTGAGAGATTTTTCTGTGGCGTGTGGGATGTGCTGATGGTTCCTTTAAATTACTTATTGGAAAAAAATCTAGRCTGCAAAGGAATAAATCCACTCTTCAGATGTGGTTTTACTTTGAAAAACAACAGTGTAAAAATGCTACCTTTGTGCTCCCTAGATCTTTTCCCTGTGCATGTGAATCCAGAGATGTCTTCTATGCACTGCATTGCCAAAAGCAATTTTCTCCTGATTTTTTGCTCCAGATACCTTTAAAGAGTCTGTGCGTGAAAGGACCRCTGGTTGAGCTCTGTTGGATTTCTTGAATCACCAACATTGTTGATTTCTGGTTTTCATTTCTGAAATGCAAGCAGTGTTTCCCGTTAAGCACACGAAGGTGCAGGCAGTTGCCTCCCCGGGCTCTAACCTGCAGGGTCCCAAAGAGCCTCCCTCCATGTGCCCGAGTGCTTCTCACTCCCTCAGAGCTTCATTCCCAGCCCGGCTAGCGCTCCAGTCWCGCCGCTGATGATTAATGGTATCAAAGAGCTCACCTCTGATCGCTGAGCTCCACTAGTTGAAGTGGGACACGAGAGGGCAAGATCCCAGCCCGGAGCTTGGATCCCGAGCTAGCCGTTTGCCTGTGTTGTTCGGACGGTGGACGCGCTGGCTCGGGGAGGCGTCCCGGGCACCGCGGCCTTTGCAGCAGGGTGGTCACGTCGCAGTCGCGAGCTAAGCACGAAACCCTCGCTGCTGTGAGGGATGGAGAGGGGAAGGCAGCCGTGCAGCCTCGGAGAAATTACATTCGTGTCCTTTTGTGTCGCCCTCAGGCACCTGAGGCTTGTGAAATTCTAAAAGTTGATTTACGCATTTTGACCATTCTCCTGTGGATTAGTTATTTATGTTGTTTAAAAGAAAGCATTTTTAAATGCTTCCGTGGTTTGCTGAACAGTTGAGGTAACACAGAGGGTACAGGAAAAGAATACGTCTACTAAAGATTCATGACTAATCCATTACTTTGTGTAAAGTAACAATAAAAAAAGGACTTGGAATATAGCATGTTGCATTGTAACTGCCTTCACTCTGGTTTGAATATAAATTTCCAAAAGCTGACCAAGATCTTCGTGAAGAAGCAGCTTCATAGCAACAACAATGTATCTGTGAGCCAGGGGTGAATGTCTTCTTTAATGTGGCTCTTTTTTCCTCTTCCCTGTGTGTGTATATGTATTCATATCATCCCTTTTTTTATTTTTTCTAGGCACCAGTTACAGATGTGCAGTTTGGCCCTATGAGACTTCATCAAGATCAACTTCAGGTAATACATTTCGCAATTTAAACTGGTCTTAATTTCCAAAACAACATAGAAGTTAACTTCAAAAAATGTGACTGTCCTCCAAAACTTACTCCAAACATCTCTCAAGTGATAAAAGTAGAGCTATCTACTGCTGTATCACTTAGCTTGTAATCAATTTAATATGTGCCGTGTTTTGTATCATACAAGTAGTCATTTCTCAGAATCCCATGTCATATCAAGGCAAATGTCCTGTCAAAGTCATCATTGTTGTTACYATTATCACCAATTTTGCAATATCATCATAAAAGATATTGTGAACTTGGCAAAGTGATTTTTTTCTTTATTCATTGTTGACTCACATCCTCCTTTATCTCTTTATTAATAAAGGCTTCATGACAGCTGTCCCCTTTCTTCTGTGTCTGTGATGTCTGTGATAGGGGTCAGGTTTGTATATACATAATTCCTGTGAGCAGCCTCTGAAAACTTTCTTATATCCCAAGCAATACTGAGCCATTAGCAGTCCAAGCTGTTCTTGAGTCACTAATTCTCCTCTTGGATGAAACTCATGAGTGGAAATTATCTGGTCCTGCTGATYTTAAATCTTGAAGATTTATCTTGAAGAACTGCAATTCAGCATCCTCCTCAACTATTGCCAGAATAGGCAGTATTACTTACCATCAAACATTGTATCTTAAGATACATTTCATCCAAATTTTTTTCCAGTTAAAAATTGGACATATTTCTTGAATATTTCTGCCTCTTTGGTCATTATTAATGATATTACTGGTGTTGTCCAGTCACAGGCCACTCAAATTCTACTAATTAAGCCTCTGCTGGCAAGGCGGCAGGAAGTAGTAGTTAGGTAACATCCCATTGTGCCAAAGTCGATCATCCAGCCCAGACCTGCTGACTCTTCTGTGCTATTGCTGAAAACCATTCTTCCACTCCTAAGAGTGTTATAAATTAACTTCACTAAATATAGCCCAAACTATGATATGTTTTTACAAACAGTTTAGCAGGTTGCTATAAAAGGAAGCTGAACTAAGTGGGTACAAAGTCCTTCATTCTGACAAAAATATGCACTACATGGAAACATTAAGATTTACTGGTAGACATTCCACCAACCTGGTCCAAAGTGTAACCAGCACTGGCATTCCTAAAATTATCCAGAAGATAAACGGCCGTGGGATGTGGCATGAGTTACACATGCTCTGCATTATTGTCTGACCAAAATATATATATGTGTGGTATGATTAAATTACTGAAAGTTCGGTGTCAGGAGACAATAGGCCAAATGCTGATTTAATTATCCATCTTTCCCAAAAGACTGCATATACTGACTCATCCACAAGCAGCATTAACATAGATCTATAATCCGCCATTCTGACTTTTCTTTCAGACAAAAGAAATTTTCCTCCATAAAATATTACCCTGATGGAAAGCATCAATGCTTCAGTKGAAGTCTTCATCAGCAGACTTTATGTTCCTCCTTATTTCTGTGGCACGTTGCATCCTAGAATTTGAAATGTGTCAAAAGAAATTGGGCTTGTATCATGTTTTGGGGCATATGTAGGCATTGTGCTCATTCTAAAAAGACCAAGATTCACATTATTAGCAATTACACAGCAAGTTATAACAGAGCAAATACTGGGTTATAGATCTCTGTCTTCCAGATCTATTTCAGCAAGAGCAGTCACCTTCTCTGGTATAAATCCTGCAGCAAGCTTTCATTCCAGCATGAGTTCATCTTGTCCAGCCTGTCTGTAGTCCCCAGAAGACTCAGGGAATGGGCTCAAATGGGTAGTGTTTRGGGGGAACTAGGATGACATGAAAAGGAAAGGACACTTTGTGCCATTGAAGCACCATTAAAAATTAATTCATGTGAAGTTAATCATGTTTTGGTGAGTATTGCAGGGGGCAGCACTGGAATGGGCTTTGGACAAGGATAAAAGCCAAATAAAAATGGTAGGAAATTTCAGTGGACAATCATAGACTTCCTGTTATTTTTTATACACTGTTTGAAATGTAGACATCTAGTTTTAACTGCCTGCCTGAGCTATCTCAGTAGCTAATGAAGAGAAATCTACTTCCCAAAGCTGTTCATCCCACATGGGTATAAGTGATTCAGGCAGAATATTTTGTTYTCTTGAAACACCTCTGTATAGAGGCCATTATATAAAGCAATAGTCTGTAGAAAGCAAGTCTGTTAAAAATGAATTAAGCCTTGTAAGACTTTCATCAAAATGTTAAGAACAGGCAAAATCATAGAATCTACTATATAAATAAAATTTGTTAGTAATGATTCACTGTTTGCCTTGAACCAGGTACTTTTAGTGTTTGCCAAAGAAGATAACCAGAGTAATGGGTTCTGCTGGGCATGTGAGAAAGCTGGATTTCGGTGTAATATTGCCAGGACACCTGAATCTGCACTAGAAAGTTTTCTGGAGAAACACCATGAAATTATCATTATTGACCATAGACATTCCAGATACTTTGATGCAGAATCGTTATGCAGGTAAGCACTGTTTTGGGGTAGTTAATAAGCCTATGTAGTTAACACATCATAAATGGTCTGTTGCTTTGGTATGACYTTTTCTATAAAGTATATCAAATACAGATTTTGGGGTGCTAAAACGTTTGAGGCTCTATCTATGGTACTGTTGAACCTCAGCATACAAATTCGTTGCTGTAATTTCTTTTTCAAATACCTTTTCCATGTTAACACATCTAATTATCTGCAAAGATCACAAAGTGCCATCAAGCAGTTTCATGAATACATTCCCTCCAGTAGGCATTTGCATTCTGAACTTTTAGAAATTTGTTTTGCTATTGAATAACTGCAGAGTGCAATAGCAGTGTTTTGTGCTAACACTTCTCTGTCTGCAACATTCAGAAAGCTGCTATAAAGAGCASAGTTGCAAACCCTCTCCAAAAATACTTGCAGCATCGCTGGAAAATAGGAAAAAAGGGGAAAGGATTTTTCTTTTTGCCTCTGTACAGAGACTTGATGGGGAGTGGAGCCTCTTTTCGATGACTTTCCAATGAAATATCCCTTGGGAATGTGTCTAGACTAAATAGCAGACTGTGGGGTGGGGGCAGCGGGGGCGGATTATGTCCTGTGGGTGACTGGTGGGTTCAGGGCACTGGGACAAAGGCTTTTCTCCTTGTTAAAATAAAGTAGTAAGATAAAATCTTTGTCAGCCAAGGACTAGATAGCAGTTCCTCCTGTTACATTTTTACCACACTGTCCCAGAATGAAGTAAAATGCTTGTTAAGGCAGTGAGGCCAAATCCTTCAAATGAGTCCTCTGCTGTGCACGCAATGTCAGTATGAGCTTTGGGCCATTGCAGAGAGGAGAAATTTTTCTATTTCCCCACTGAGAGGAGTAAAGATGTAGATTAACATGCAGTCCTCTGCCTCCCYCTTCCCCCCCTCCATTGAGTCTCAGACATTGCTAAATTAATTCTTCTCTCTTAATGATCCAGCAGACTTGGGATTTGATTTTGTTTTGTATTAAAATAAAGCATTTAAAGGAGAGATAATTTGACTTGACACCATATGAAGATGCTGTAAAGTCATGGTTGCTGAAATGTGAGCTTAAAAAGTGCTAAATGATCTTGTTTTTTATTTTAAGGTCTATCAGAGCAACTGAAGTCTCAGAAAATACAGTCATTATTGGTGTAGTTCGAAGGTAAATATTCACATCTTTATTTGCACATGTGATCTACAAAATGTAAACCCTATCACTGTAAAAGCAAATATTATGTTAGAAATTTTATATTAAACTGTCTTACAGTGCTGGGGATACGTTTATTCTGTGCAGATTTTCAGCATCCTTGGCCACAGGACAGGGACAAAATTTTTAATTTCTACTTTTTACCAAATAGATCGCACATTTTGCTTTTTTCTTTTCCTACTCATCACTGGAGATTTTAAGAGCATGATTCAAGCAACCTTCACAATACCATGTCCTGACCCATGAAACTGCCTCATAGATTTATATTTTGACATTCTTGGAAATAACTCTTTGAACCTCTCTGAGTTTGTGCCTCAATCTGATTCATCCAAGCACAAATAGATCTGTAGATTTACAAAAGAGTACTGGTACAACGTTGTCAGTATTAGGTAGCACCTGACCCTTAGAGATTTTTAAAATAAAGTCAAATAGACTATATTGTGATGTGTCAGTAGAGCAGTGCAYTCTTCCTCCTACTACTGAAAACATAACCTTTATATTATAAAATAATATAAAAGTAATAAACGTGTTTAAGTTAGTTTGGCATGAAATWAAATAATTCAAAACAATTTCCTCAAATGACAGTTTTTAAAATTTCTAATTCTTAGAAAAAAAGACAAAAACAATTCTGAGGTGTTAAAATTTCCCTTTGAAAATCTTGTTTTTCATTACCATCCATACTGTGTGAAAGACCCTAAATATTTCAAGAAATTCCATTGGGAATGTAATCTTTATTGTGTTAGAAAGTCTTACAGCTAAGGTAACAGTAATTTCCAGAGTCAGAATTGCCTCGTAATAAAGTAATACAAAAGGCAAGAGGACTGTATTAGCTGTCTTAAGATAGTATTTCCCTTCTGGCTGCAAGAAGTGTATTTGTGAAAAAGCCCGATATTTAGCTAGTAGGATGTGGAGGTTCCCCCCGTGGGGATTAACCTCCTTCATTTCCTGCTCTTCAGTTGCTCTGGGCTTTTTGTTCCCTGACAGTGTCCTCTGTGTCCTCTGTGCTTTTAGGGGACAGCACTACCAGATAGTTGGTGTGAGGAAGGGGGATACTTTTCTGACAGTGGGCTTGTCTCCCCTCTTGATCTTGGGCAAACCTTGTCCTTGTCTAACCATTGGCCTCTTAATGTCTGGGAAAAAAATAYGGAAAACAAAAGCAAGAGATGCCATAAGATCTGAAAATTAAGGTAAAAGTGTATAAAAGCTATTGAAGCTATTGTGCCACCTGCTAAGCTTGACCTGCTTCTATTGCTTATTTATGGAAATTTAATAGAATGACCTTGCTTCCAGGTCCCATCCATACATTCGCGTATGTTGGAGTGTCTTCTARTGATTAGAATAGCCAGGTTTGTCAGGTACCTTGTTTTAGCAAATATCATCACAAATTGGCCTAATAGAAAGCACTGGGTCAACACTAGAAATGCCATCCCCATTCAGGCATCTGGAGTTGCCCACCTAAGATTTGATGTACTCAGATAACCTTGRTTGCATAGACTTTGAAGTGCATCTTTAACTAGGGACAATATATCAGAGAAYCCAGTACAGAAAAGGAAAGAATAGTTCAGCAGTCTAGCTAATTATTTTTTTTCATCAAGCATTACTGCTTTCTGTGATGTAAGAAGCTGATTACTTGCAAATAGAAAAATGTTGACTTTATTTAAATAAAAGTAAGGTTTTTATTTTAAATTAAAAAAATCTATAGTAGCAGTATTATGTGGTATAAATTTTTGATCAAAAAAAGATTTTTTGGGTCCAAAAATCCTAATTTTTGATCCTAGACGTATGAACCTATAGTATGCTTCCTGCCTATAGGAATGTTAATGGCTTGTGAAATTGGCACTGAGCTGATTATAAAATAACTTTATCATCCTTCTTTAAAAGGCACAGCGATCGTGAAGAGATATCAATATTGCCCCTGATCAATGCTGGCTTCACAAGGGTATGTATGTCTTGCAATCCACAAGATTGCTCTAACGTTCCTGAATTTTCAGGCAAGAAGCTCAGAGATTTGGCTCTCAGTGATCATCTGTGTCRGTAGTCAAATCTGTAAATCTTTTTTATACTGCTTGTTGTTACCTAGTTCTYATTTTTTTACACCAGTAGAAATAGAGTAATGCTGACGAAGAAGGTAGAGGTTCTCAGGAAGTGTTAGAAGATATTTCTACATTATATATTTATTTCAAAAGAAGTATATGATGCATTAACTGCCAGCTTTAAAAAGAGATAGTAGACAGTGGCAGGACTGAATAGGTATGGTAGMAGAGCAAAGAGTAGATTGCAGGGAACAACAGAATGGGCTGTAGGAAATCTCTTCCATCAAAAGCCAATTCACATCTGTAAGCAGGCTTCAGACCTTGTCGAGCTCTCCTATCTATTGTTTACAGTCACCTGCAAACTGTTAAAGTTGAATCTGTTCCTGCAAAGTGTTAAAAATGAATCTGTTCCTTGGCAACTATTCCAATTAAGCAGAAAAGGTGCTTATTAGTGCATCGGTTAAGTGGATTCCTCATTGCATTAAGCTGACAATGGAAAAAAAAGTACATGATTTACATTGCAGTCTGTTTGCAACTATTTGCTTATTTGTAGTAAGGTCCTAAGGCAGGAAATGCTAAAGCCTGAAAATAACTGTACTTACATGTAAAGATTTGTTTCAGTGGGCACATAACTAAATAACTGTCCTTGGCTCTGTAGCATGAACAAAAACTTAATGTGCAGGTTAATTCCTAGTAAAAATTAGATGTTTCARAAAAAAATATCTGAGAAGGTTTTGAGGTCAGTGCTACTGAGCTTATACAAGGTCTAGAATTGCTAACTGTCCCACGGCAAGTGTGCTTGTTGGAAGCTTTACCACCTTCTTACTGTGCAGCTCAGGGTATCAGCAATTTGAAACTCGTAATGGTATCAGATTTGATGACTTCAGACAAATATGTCTTTTAATTGTTGTTTTAATTGAGACAAATACGTCTTTTAATTGTTATTTTAATTAAATAACATGAAAGCTTTGTTCACAGTGGTGTATCTTATATATTGACCATGYTGATAGTTGCAAAAACTCAAGAGATTGGTCACATCCTACTGCTATGTCTTCTTTTTTTGTCAGTTTGTCAGTTTTTCCAAATGTAGCATCTTGAAGATTTTTCTTGAAGTYCCAATAAATAACCTTCTCACACTGCCTGCGTTACAAAATGTTAGGTTTTGGCATATATTTTGTTTATCTAACAAGCAAAAGAAAACAGCCTCATACACTTGTGAATGCAAATGTGTATTAATGAATATCTCTAACCTTTTATTTGCAGCGATATGTAGAAAATTCTAATGCAATGGCCTGTTACAATGAGCTGATTCAGCTGGAACATGGAGAAGTGCGGGCACAATTCAAACTGAGGTAATCTCACCAAAAACATCAACATCATAAATGCCAATTCAGCCATCTGCTTAAAATTGCATTTATTTTACTGTATGCTTCTTAATTATAAAATGTCCATTAGGAAATATGTTAATTGTTAAAGTACATCTGTATTCAGAATGGAGTTAGCTTGTTATCATATAGAGTAGGAATTACATGGATTAAATCTGATGAGATGTCTTTCTTTTTTGTCTACAGGGCTTGTAATTCATTATTTACAGCATTAGAGAAAAGTCAAGAAGCCATTGAGATCACAAGTGAAGACCATGTAATACAGGTTTGTTCCAGTCATTTTTATAAGTAGAGAAAATTACTCTGTGGGCTGACTATTTCATCCACAATTACACTTTTTATTTATGGTAAGAGAATTGAACCTAACCTTTTTTTTTAAAGAGATTTTAAAGAGATTAGAATGAATTTATGTGCAAAGTAGAATTTCTTTCATTTTAAAATATATTGCCTAAACCAAGTCAAATTTAAAGAATATTTTCTCTGAAACAATAAGAATCTACCTCTTCTCTCTCTCTCTCTCTCTCTCTCTCTTTTTTTTTTTTTTTTTTTTTTTGGTTGTTGTCTGTCATAACTCTATAGGTATCTAATACCCAGCTTTTGCTATAATTTCCCTCTCTTTGCTCACAAGCACAGACTGCAGGGTTGACAGCGTTTCTGGTTTTTGCTTCACAAAGAAAAATCACCTAGGCATCTCTCTTAGAAACAATACATACAATATTTAGCTCAGACTGGGATACAGATCTCTAGGTTTACCATAYAGGAATTCTGTTGTACTTGAAGTATTCTGTTTAATGTTTCTTATTTTCATTTCACAGTACCTCAATCCTGCATTTGAAACAGTGATGGGCTATCAAATAGGTGAATTAATAGGAAAGGAATTAAATGAAGTGCCTGTAAATGAAAAAAAAGCTGATTTCCTAGATACTATTAATTCCTGCATAAAGATAGGAAAGGTGAGTAATAGTTTCATCTATTTCACTTATAGTTTGCTACCTGAAAAAGTTAACATTTTCAAAGGATGACATGTGGCATAACTAAGTTCACAGCACGTGCAACTTTCTCACCCGAGCAAGAAGAGGAAGTCAAAAACGCTTGATTTCAAGGACTCTTCCTCTTAAGCTGCTTGGAGAAGCTGTGTGCTTCATGAAAATGAGTGCCTCACTGTGTTTCCTTAGCATATATGCTGCATCTTGCAAAAGGTTTGGGAAGATTAAGGAAAAATGGGAAAATACAATACATCCAGTGAGATGCAAATGAGAAATGAATCGCTTAGGAATATTTCAGCATTAAATGTGGAAGCTGATTTGTATGTTCAGATTGTAAAAGGGCCAGAGGAGATATTTGCAGTGTTACTGGGAGTGACAGGCAGTGTCTGCTGCCAACATCTGTCCTGTACTTCTTAATGGCACGGGAGCTCTCTARCGGGTGTCCCTCAGGACCGGTTGCTGCACTGAGAAAGGGCAGCTGGCTTCAAGGGGTGTCATTACAGAGGCACCGCCGCTGGCCTGGTCTCCGTGACGTCCCTTTGGGAGCGTTGTGGCACCAGCGTGAGGATGTATCCAGGAGCTCCCATTTGCATCTTGACAACAGAGTATAAATGCTTCTGATGTCACCAAACGTATGTGTCATCGTACCCCTATAGCAAGACAGATTATGGAGGTGGCACAAAGAGATGTGGGAATTGGTGGGTTTGCGGATGCGTCACGGCCTGTGCTCAGACCTGAGTCAGGGCAGCTAAATGKGTCGCACTGCCTGTGTGCTGGGAAGCACCACGTTATGGACGTGGCGCAGGGAGGCGCGCACATGAGTCAGGGCCGGCGGGGACGCGAAGGCAGYGGCAGAGCTGGGCCGAGTCCCGCGGCGCGAGGCCGGTGCTCACACGGGTGCTCGTCAGCAGGAGCCGCGCGCCGGCTGCGCACAGGGTGCGTGTGCAGGCAGCACCAGGGTGCCAGGCACTCGTGTGGGCATCGGCCTTCGGCAGAGACCTGTTGCTCTACCTGCATTCTGGTGCTTCTCACCTCTGCTGCCTGGCTGAAATGTGTATAACAGAAAGCTAATGTTGGGGTGGAGGATTTATTAAGTTGTAATTCAAATACACTGCACGTGTCAGACTTTAAAACCACAACATCAATTCTCAAGATATGATGTGGATCAAATTTTTGGTACTTTAGTGTGCTGATAAACTGTCTTTAATAACGATGAAGTGTCTAAGTCTGTGAATGATAGAAATTAAGCCTAATCCATCACTTCTCTTGTACCATATTTTACTCTTGGCTCTAGGACTTCTAACTGTGAAGGYAAAAGAAATATTACTTAAAATTTATCTGTCTAGAGCAGCTTGAACTGTTTTAAGTGGACAGTACTATTTACATATTGTTTTTATTTATCATTGAAACATTTTATGGTATGCAGTGTATGTAGTCTCATATTTACATGTTAATAGAAAAATGATTTACAAATAAAATTCTTACAAGACAGGTCTGGTTTTACTGTGTGGAGTAGCCTTTGAAATACTGCAGCCCTTGGAAGGTGYGTTCGTTTGAGTCAAGATGTTACAGCATTTTCTGAGGTGCTTAACTTGAGTCCAGATGATTCTGACTTAGTCTGTGTGTTTACACTGTGATTTCTTGATGTCCTAAATGTAAGACTGCTTTGCATTAGAAGTCACCTATATATTGGTTATGTAGATTATAACATGCTGAAAAAGCCAGCTGTCTTCTCTGGTATTTTCCTCTGATTTTGGCTTTTATTTTTGGTTTGAACAAACTTGCCAAATAACAAGAATAATGGAAAGCAGAATTTTTAATTAAACTGACCTTTGGAAAGTCTGCATCTATTCTTGGAGTGAAATGTAGGAAGATGTACTCCTGCAGTATGTTCCTTCTTGTACTGACAAAGATGCAAACAAGAGTTGACAGACATTATACACCAAAATTACTAATTGGATGGAGCACAGCAATCCTTGGCTCTGAATACTCTTTCTTTTGGCCAAAAAACAAACAAACAAAACAACYTAAAACCGTGGCAAGTTCASTTTGTGTTACTGTAGCTGGCTAAAATTTGCAAGCAGCCAGAATTACTGAAAGGCATTTTCAGCAGTCCATACGTGAGGAGTTAAGAACCAGGGTGCAGTTTCTTTATGCGTTTGTTTCTTGATTCAAATCACACCCATTACGATGAATTGTGCTGTTCTGATTCTCTCTGGCTAGAATTCTTGCTGCCTCTGCTCTCTGCAGCTTGACACAAAGCTCTTCATCACGGTCTCTCTTCTTCTGAAGTGAGACAGATACCTATCGATCAGTCAGGCGAGGCGCTCGCGTCCTCGCCGCTTKGGGAGCTATTTGCGAGGCAGGTATCTTTATAGAGGGAGTGGGAGAGCAATCAAGCTCTGTGATAACGGTCTGCGGCAATTCCTGCCTAGACTCTAAGTTCCTTTCTGTGAGATTGTTTCCCTGACGTGCTCMATTGCGTTTGCTCTAGTGTCTGCAAGTAGCTCGCTGGACTCTCCTGTCTAGTGCGAGAAACCCCAAATCTCAAAGGAAAGGCAGACCAGGGGGTTCCCTTGCTCTGCACAAATGGGTCATTTCAGTAGGCAGGTGAATACCAGGGCCTGCTGAAGGAAGTCTTAAGCCTTAGTGTTAATTTCTGGCATGCAATATAAAGCCTGGAAGATTTTATATATATATAAATATATATATATATTTAAACTGTACAAGGTTCTCAATCTGCATTTGATCCTCGCACACCAACTCATGCAGAAGAGCCTGAGCACTTTTGTTGTGTGGCTGCAGTTTAGTCATAAAAATGAGCCTGACTGGAGACATGTCTTGCGGGGTRGCTTGTCTCTGCTGGGTTTCTGACAAGGCTCTGTGAGAGAGCATATGGTGTTCTTAAAATATGTTTAAGTAATGTCCCTGTGAGAACTTTATATACCAGCAGGAGCTTGGCGTGGGCCTCCTGTTTTCCAGAATTGTGATGACCTTTTTCCTCACACGTTTCCTGCCACAGTTTCACAGGTTTTAGAAATTCACAAATTGAGAAGTTTGTTGACTGTGGAGAGGCATTAGAGAATAGCTGCAACCTGTCTTGAGCAGCAGGCACCTCCAGTGCTGGAATTATCCAGTCGTCACCTTAGGACTTCATGCCTGGGTGCATTTTCTGTGTTTATCACCTGTCTGTAGAGATCCATTACTGATCCCTAACTTATCCTGGTTGGCAGGAAACTATTGATATGCATGTTTTTAATTATGAGAGCATTGGATTTTGTGAGGTTTGCTTTGTCCTCATTTATATTCCTCGTGCAGCTTACTGGAGGAAATACTGTGTCTCTTTCTGAATTTGCTGTGCACAGCCCTTTCCTCTGACAGATCCTTGGAAAAACCTTCCATGWTTTTTTCTGCACAGCCTGTCACCACACAGCTCTCTGTGGGCTGCAGTCTTTATGTGTTGGCTCCATTGGAATAAATGCAAAACTGTTCCCTCTGTACCTGTGCAAGAACAGTGTCTTTCTCAATTTTTTCTGCTACTGTTTATATGATTATTTGGAGTTTAAATGATTTAGTTTTATAAACAAAATGCCTGGTTAGGAGGAAGACATTTCTGAAGATGACTGTAGAGACCTCTGATTGCACTGAGGTGACACCTGAACCAGCATCACCCTCACTGCATTGCTCTTTTTAGCATATGGTCCTCTGACATGTTCCTTGCCTTTGACACCCTTAACAGTAAATGATAGATTTTGTGTCATAAGGCAATATTCAAAGAAAAAATATGGCAAACTGCAATTTTATTTCTGTTTTATCTGGCCATTCCAAGGGTGCCAAGTGAAGAATGTGTAGAAACCCATTCTGAGTTTGTCGATTGCATTTTGAACTTCCTTCCTCCTGAATTTCTTTTGCAGGAATGGCAAGGAATGTACTATGTGAAAAAGAAAAATGGAGACAGCGTACAGCAAAATGTGAAGATAATACCTGTCATTGGACAGGGAGGGTAAGTATGAACGCTAAAGCTGTGACTTAGGTTTGATTCAAGGCTTGGTTTGGTTCAGCTGCYTTCAGCAGGCATTGGATTATCCTGTTACTGAGTCTGAGGAAAATTTATGCAAAGAAGGGAGACTTAGACCTCTGGATTTAATTCCCTGGGACAAAATCTTGCTGTTTTCAGGGAATTCTGCTAATGTGCTTCAAAAAGGAAGCCAAAGACACAGATGTGCTCACTCATTAGTATTACTCTTCTAATTCTATTCTTCACCATCCTATCAACCTGCGTCCCGCCCCACCGTTGCCCTGCCACGGTGCCCTGCTCAAGGCTGTTGTGTCTTTCTGTGACAAGGTTACGAGGTGCTTTCATCCTTGCCAAAATTCATCTGCAAGGATCTCATCCTATTTAAGCATATCTTGATTTTTATGCAGTTTTCACTTGGCCCCTGAACAGAGCATTTAGAGCACACTAGAATAGGTTAGTTATGGGTAGATTTATATTAAGACCTCCTGTGGATCAGCTCACATGCAGTTGCAATTTCAAAACCCTCCAAGGCAATACATGCATTAAAAGAACTACCCTTTATCTTCCAGAATCCCTGCTGCAGTGTATGTTGTTCCTCTGCTGTCACATTTGTTTAGAAAGGTGTGTCTTGTCATGAAGGAAAAGCTGAATGTGGCTGTTACATACTTTAAGATGAGCAAATGCAGTTTTTAATTAGAAGAATTATGGTGTTTTGATTTAATCCCTTAGAAGTAACTCATGAGCTCTACTCTCCATTAGTAGAGTGAAAACATCTTTTTAACTTAAGATGCCAAACTAGTAAGACCGATATGTATTACATATACTGTTGCTTGCAGAGAAATCTAAGCCCATTTGAAGCTGACCTAGAAAGTTTTTGGTGATCAAGGCTGCAGTTTGCAATCTGACCGCTCTGTCATAAAATGCTGTTGAACGTTTGGGATATTCACTCTGCCCTGTTCAATATTTCTCAGTTATATCATACCTGAAATGTGGCCCAGGAGAAGATGGAGGGGGAGGAGGTGGGTAGAAAGAGGAAGGAACAGTCTTTGCAAAAAAAAAAAAAAAAAAAAAAAAAAAAAGGAAAAAGAAAAGTTTCCAAATCTGTATTCCCCATCCTGTGCTGCAGAACTGTGGGGTTTTTGTTGTTTTAGGGTGTTTTGCTTTGTTTTTTTTTTGTTTTGTTTTGTTTATTCCCTATCAAGCCTTCCTGACAGAACAGGGTTTGTCCTGCATTGATTTGTTGTTTTCCACCATTTTGTGCATCAGCCCGAATCAGAGCAGGGATTTGAATGGTAATTAACACATTGTTTTTCGCCTACAGGAAGATTAGACACTATGTGTCAATTAGTAGACTGTGCAATGACAACAATAAGGTAAGTGAATGTGATACTTCCTTTAGTTTAAGCCCTAAATATTACAAAGGAATGGGAAAATTCTAACCAACTGCTTTTCTCATACTGTTTTGTAGGCAGAAAAAACATGTGAACGTGTTCAGGCTGAATCTCAGACAGGTAATGGCACCTCTCTTTTGGCATAAGAAGTGGAGAACATGCCCATGGAAAGATGAAGCCAGTTGCTAGTGATTTGGCTGAAAACCACTGGTTGCACAAGACAATCAGAAAAAAATGGTTAGCAATAAAGTAGGAATCCAGTTCAGAAGGCAGCAAAATAGATGCAAGTTCTCTTGATTTGTTTTAGAAGTGAGCAATATAAAGCAACCAAACCTTGAAAATTCTGTGCAAGGGCTCTGGGTTCATCTTGTGTGGGTCCAGTGTCCCATTTCAGCTGTAGGTAAAGGATCCCTCTGATGAAATTAAAAATATTAAGGACACCATCTATAAAGAATATTGTTAAGGCTGGTCTCTAGGTAGTAGCAGGTATATTTGCACTGYGTTTAACAGTATTGTGGAGTATTTGCCTGGGGGAAGAAATGAGGACTCTATTTGCTCCCCTCTGCAAAAAAAGAAACCCCACTTTGGTTCTCTTTGCCAGAGGTTATGAGTGGGTTCATGACCACATCAGTGGGCAGGAATTTGAGAAGGAGCTTTCACTGGCTCTCTTCTGCTGAAGTGCTGGGGGGAACATCCTGCAGCAGCTCCCAGCCTTTCTCTCTCTGTCTCTTCCTTTAACATTCACGCCAGGCAGGGGTTATGTCATTGTACAGTATCATTTTTCTACAGATATTCAGACTTGCAGACACAAAGACAGGAGGAAAGGATCACTGGATGTCAGATCCACAACCTCACGAGGGAGTGATGGTATGTTAAATTAGTAGATCTTTTTATTATTATTATTTCTATATGCATACGTACATGTGTATATACATATATAAGGTTAAATACATATATGTGTTTATATATATACACATGCACACATGCTGCTGTAATTGCAAGTCTCCAGTCCATGGACGACTCCACATTTCTGGAAGAACCCCATTTTATTCTCATGATTTTTAAATCCTTTTTTTCAAATAGCGAGGGGTAGAAGACATCACCTACTATCCTGCATGGGTAATTTCATGAGATTCAACTTCCATGAGATACCTGCAAGTATGAAGTATGAAATACAAGTATCAAGTAGAAATGGCAGACTAATCCTAACAACATGTTACAGTCTTTATCTCTTCCTTTTTTCAGTAAAGATTTGAAGTTGATTTTCTTACCATGTTGTTTTCTTTTCACTGTGTTGTATTGAGCTTCAGTGTACAATCCCAAACTAGATAGCTGACTTACATATTTTGTCAATACTTGCATGATTTGGTTAAACCATAGTTCAGTACAGCCTAGGCAACAGGCACTGGTGCAAGGTGGAAATAGGGCTGTAAAAGTGAGAAGAGAGTCATGTCCAAGTATGACAGAAGCAGGAGTGAGAGAGATCTGTCTGAACATAACTGTTAAGAAAAATCCATTTTGTCTTTACCTGTACAGAAACTAAATTGCTAAATGATGCAAAATGATTGTTTTTCAATTTCCAATAAATAATAGGCTAGAACTTCTGCTGTTTTAACTGGCATAGCTGTCTCACTTCAAAGGATCTTCACTGATTTACCTCAGCTTAGAAGCTGACTCACTTATGACTTGTCATGTTGGTGCATTATCTAGCAAAATTGTAAATGTCCTACAACAAATCAAGTGTAATAGGTATATATATGTGGCTGATGGTTTACAAACAGATACAYGTACACACACGTGCATAGTATTTACATGAATATTTCATTAAATGTTTTATTTCAAATGCAAAACCAAAGCCRTGATTTTGCCAGGCTGTTGCAGGTATCTGTTCAGGGAGAGCGGTGGCTCCACACGGTTCTCTCTGCGYGTGTGTGCCCAGCACAGCAAGTGTGTGCACATTCTGCAATATGCAGCAGCCTGTRCAGAGCAGAAAAGCAGTGCAGGGCTGTGGGTGAGCACGTGCCGAGCCGTGCCCGTGGCTGAACGGGGCTCCGTGTGCTTTGCTCCGCAGGCAGCTGCCAGCGGCGACACTCCTCCATGGCCCGCATACATTCCATGACCATCGARGCGCCCATCACCAAGGTAAGTGAGGAGGCCGTTCTGCTCTGCTCTGGTCCATTCCTTTCATATTCCTGCCTCGCAGAGGGTCCTCCCCGGGGTCAGCCACTTCCTGATGCCCTTTAGGACCCCCCTAGGACCTGTGTGAAGGGCAGGACCAGAGCGTTTCCTCTTTGCCTACGCACGGCAAGCRCTGTTCTGAAACCACGGCATGGCAAGAGTCAGCTCTTCAATGAACTGGCAGGAGGTAACAGCAGATCCATCTGGAGGCATTTTGAGCTTGCGCCTCAATCAGGAAAGAAAGAAACTAATGAAATTACTGTCTTTAAGGCCATGATCCTGCTTGAAAAGTCAGTAGCAAACATCAATGCTTTATTAATGTCCCATTAGAGATTTCACTTTGATTCTCACACATGAGTTAAAGTTGTAGATCTCATTTAGTTGCTATGGGTTTTCTGTAATAGCTGATTACAGCTGCTGTCAGTCCTGCTCCTTTCTTAAATCACTTCCAATCACTTCTAATTGGAAGCATGTCTGTTGTTAACCTAGGTAATAAACATCATCAATGCTGCACAAGAAAGCAGTCCCGTGCCCGTGGCAGAAGCTTTAGACCGGGTTTTGGAGATTTTAAGAACCACTGAGCTGTACTCTCCACAACTGGGGACAAAAGATGAAGATCCACATACAAGTGACCTCGTTGGAGGGCTAATGACAGTAAGTACATGCTGTCACAGACAGCTATTGTTTAATATCCCACCGCCTGAGAGTGGTAAGATTTTCCCAGTTCCCTGGTCTTTGCATCTAAAATGCCAAATTTTCATTAAAAACTGCAGACATGTTTCCTCTGTGCTATTAAAGTATTTCTGAAAATGGAAGGAAATTGACCAGTCCTCTTGAAACTTTAGTTTCACTAGAACAGGGAAGGAAAAGTACTTCTTTTTTTCAATATGATTCATTTCAAAATGATGTAGATGGGAGAGGGGACTAAGAAAAAGACAACTAGATATTTAAATATATTCATTAGTGTTAGAATGGCACATGTTGGTGCTTTTCAGTTTATAAAGAGATTGCATTTTCAAARGAATGCTAAATACACTTTTCTTACTTCTTTAGATGATATTAGTATTTGGAGATAGAAAAGTCAGAGTCCTTTGAGCTAGGAATGTGAATGTCCACATATTAAAATACAAWCATGCGCCACAGAACTTATTGTTTAAATATACAGGGCAAGAAAAAGACTGAATAAAGTCTGTATTTTGTTATTACCTTTTAAAAAAAGGAACAGAGATGTTGAAAGAAGAAGCCATAGACCTGAAGTTGAACAAAGGGCACATAGCAAAGCAAAGAACTGAACCTAAACTTTCCAAGTCTGGAGTCTGGCTCTTCTGATGATAACTAGATGAGCTTGGGTGAATGTTACCTGTGCCCTAGGGATACGTGTGCCAGTTAATAGTAGATTGGATATAAATGGCTGGCTCAGGAAAAGGATTTTGACAATGTGTTGGATGCAAAAGGCTCATTAGATGTCGGATATGTCTCTGGGCTAATATCATTTCGCGATGGTTCCAGTACAGTGTCCACATTTACCTCTTTATGCTTTGGCCGAGAAACATTGTGAACAAGGTAGAAGAATGCATTATGATTTTTTTTTGTTTGCTTTTTAAATAACTTTTTTTTTTTGGAAACATAATGGGCTAATATTAGTGCAAAGTAACTAACAGTGTGCATATCAAAAAAGCAAGCAAAGATTTGTGCCACAGATTTTAGACTGATGAATTGAAAGGTAAATATTAAATGTAGCATTCTTAATTCTTAAGGCTTAGTGTGCACATCCAGGCATCATTTCAGACTTGAGCCTAGGAGGCCCTGAGTTGGAGAATGCACAAGACTACGTTCTCCTTTGATGGAAAGGAAGCCCCAGAGTAATAGGGTAATTTGTTGCTCGGCGATCACAGCAACAAATCAGAATCTCCTGGTCCTGCTGAGGTGGCCTAGTCTGCCATGCAGCGGGAGGAGAACACAAGAGTATCCATCCATCCATCCATCCATCCATCCATCCATCCATCCATCCATCCATCCATCCATCCCCTCCACCTTCCACCCTTGCTGATGGGAAGTGAGCAAACCTGCAGCGCCAGGATTTCATACAAGCAAAGGTGGACGTGAGGCTGTGATTGCAGACCTCGATTTGCACCTGAGCAATTCCAGATTGTACTTTTCTTGTTCTTACAGATATTTTTTCCATGCCCTGCATTTAACTCTCACCTTTTATTGAACAGGATGGTTTACGGCGATTATCAGGGAATGAATACTTATTATCAGCAAAACGTAAGTTTTGATTTGGAAGTTATTAAGATGTAAAAAAGTAGTAAAAATTTAACATGGAAAGTGTGATCAGATGTTCTTCTTTCTTAATAAACAATGTTTACTTTTAAATAAATATATTGCTTACATACGTTATTTATAAGTATTGTTCTACAATGTTATTTCCAGGCGTGATTACAGAAAATAAAACATGTACATTTAGTAAAAGTTTACTTCAGGATTATTAATAGGCATCTACAAATATATTCCTCAACAGAAACTCATCAGGTTGCAAGCAGTTTGATCTCTCCCATCTCCCTCAACGACATACCCCCACGGATAACACAGGCAATGGAAAAAGAAGAGCACTGGGATTTTGATATCTTTGAACTTGAGGCTGCCACCCATAAAAGGTCAGTAAACTGGAAGGCTCATGAAGCTGCTGCAAATTGACTTAAATGTCATCCTGTAATGGGCTCTTCAATTTCTCTACCTCTTTTTCAAATTGGAATTACTTTTAATTTCAAAGAAACATGTCTGAAATTCTCTCAATGTCATATCTGTTCTCATTCCTTGTGCAAGAACCCATTAAATATCTTCTGTTTTATCACACACTATTTTCTGCTATTTCCARTAGATGCCAACGAAGACTAAATATATTTGATAAATTATAATAACAAAGCGATAGCATTTTGAAAGCCTTTCTTTTCTGTTCTTTATAATTAAAAACTTACACAAATCAAATTTTGGGGGAKCTAAGTTCAAATTATGTCCAACTGCACAGAGTCACCATGTTGGTGTTAATCTGATCACCTGTGTAGATCACGCTTTACTTTCTCTCCAAATATTTTTTATTCTTAAATCTTTATATCTGGCTTTTTGGCGGAATTCTCTTTGCTGCCTTCTGGGGTTGGAGGAAGGTCTGTATTCTATATCTTAGAAGGCTGCATTTTATGTAGAAGATTATAGCTGAAGAATATTGTTTTAAAGTACAGTGTACYAAAAGCTCTGTCTAAGCAAGGTATCAAGACATTTAATGTGCATGCATTTACTTCTACTTTAGATCTCAGCTTTATGAATCAAATAAATCGGAAAATATTTGGCTTTTTATTCTTCCTTAAAGTGATATAATTTTAGATGTTACTGTAAGTGAAGAAATCTACATTTACTCACTTTATTTTTTCCTTTGCTACATTCTCATTGCTAATGGAGTGCTATAGATCTAGTAATAAAAATAAAGGGCAAAAAAAACAGGGTTTGTAATATTTAATACTCAGTTTGCAATAGCTTAAGAATTGGTTATCCCAGTCAACATGTGTGAGAYGACCAGATAGGTTTCTCTGTTCTTATTGATTTGGAGAGAGACAGAGGGACAAAAAAGGTATTTTGTCACCTATCTTCTTATTAAAGGKATTAAGATTGCTTCCTGCTGTGTTTAAATAAAAGCAATTCATTTATTAAAGGCATTAAAGTGATCTTCCATGAATCAACACCATGAATATATTATTAGTAATTACCTCTAGTCCATGTYGGCACAGGGTAGTAAGGCCGAGGTAGTTCATTAGATCCAGGCTTAGGGCAGTGGCTGTGACAGCTCCCTGACACGGAAACGCTGGTGCGGTCGTGCCGGGCGGCACCGCCGTCCCTCGCTCGGTGGGTCCTGCAGGGAGAGGCAGAAGGTGGGTGCCAGCACGACGCGCCCGCGCGGCGCCGCAGGCCGGCTGCGCTGCTGAGCTGGACGGGCTGCCCCGTCCAGCCGGGTGAGGCCCCTGCCCTCCGCTCACACRGGGCTCCTAGACCTCATTTTGGCTGCACTCTACCTGAACCAGACTGCCCAGCTCCCAGAATGCTGCTCCGTGTGGCACGGCAGCAATATGGGGCCTGCTTAGTGTTCCTGGGAGTATCAGGAACCGGCAGATTCTGACTACGGGCAGGTTGGAGTTAGGTAGAAGGTTTTGATGGGTTTGCACTGGAATTCTGTAGCAATTAAATACCTATACCTAATGTGACATTCTATTAGTTAATAATGCTGTGTGGATCCATACTATATACAGTTTCTAATATTCTCTCAACCTTGTTTATTTTAAAATTTTGTGTTTCTTTTTCTCTGCAGACCTTTGGTTTATCTGGGTCTCAAAATATTTGCTCGCTTTGGAATCTGTGAATTCCTAGACTGTCCTGAATCAACTCTGAGGTCGTGGTTACAAGTTATTGAAGCTAACTACCATTCCTCCAACTCCTACCATAATTCTACACATTCTGCTGATGTGCTACATGCCACTGCTTACTTCTTGTCTAAAGAAAGAGTAAAGGTGAGTCTATGTTTCTCGGAAAGAGTGGGTTGGAAGTACAGGTAGGATGTCTTGGACAAGTTGCCAAGGACCAAATGTCTACCTAGTGCCAACTACTGCAGCAAGTGAGAGATCAATGACAGATACTGGTATTACTGGAATTGAGTTAAGGGAAAATGAAAGCTTCCTTTTAAAAAAGGAAGTAACAGAAATCTTTCTAGCATAGATGATCTTAGTGAGATGGGTCAACTAATGACAATTATTTTTGTGAGGTTCCCCTCAGACTTAGACAAATAAATGGCCATTTCTTCAACTCTGTGATGCTAGTTTTGCATAACACTGCCAGGACAACGAAGGCCGTAACGAAGCTTTAGTGATTCCAAAGCTGTCACCCACCAGAGGAGACGCTTAGACTGCACTGGAGGAGAGTATTAAACACATTATTTGTTGAGGTTACTTAACCATAGTGCTCCTTGGTTCGTTAGAACCACTGAAAACCACAACTAATCAGAGTCACCTTTGTTCTTGTGCTGCCAGAGGGCAGCCTGTGCTGTGAAAAGGGGAATTAAGACAGGGCTAGCATGTGTCTGTAGCAGAGTGGCAGTATTCATTTCTGCATGGCATTTCTGGATACAAATTCCTACCCTGATTTGGCCTAAGGATAGGGTTTGTGATGGGCACCTGGCTGAGACATTTGTGACTGTAAACAAGTTTCTGACAGCTCATTAAAAGTGTAGTAAGTCCCTTAACCTGGAGCTGCAGCTCATTAGTGTGTTCTCCAGTGGCTGACTCAGATACTATGTGCCAAGTGGGAGAGGAACTTCACTGGGTAGTTTCAGTCTTGTATTTGCTAGCGGCTTAACTGGTCTTCCCAAGAATATCACTGAAAACCAGACAAGATCTGGAATCATTTCAATGCCACAGAAGCATGATTGCTCCTCCCTCCCAGAATATTATCTCCTTTCCTCTGTAGGCGAAGGAAAATAGAGTGTTGCAACAGAAGGAGTAGAATCGAAGTTCAAGATTTTCCCTTTACCTTTTCAGTGTTTCTGCACAGCTGCTTCTGTTGTCCACAGTTCAACTTAACCTAAATACAGGAGGCCAGATTCTGCAACCCAGGTTTACATTGAGAAATTTTCAGTAAACTGAACTCAGTTCTTTTCTGCCCCAAAAGTGAAGCAGTGTTCTCAGAATCATTTCCACTCCTGTGCTGTAGGACTTAAGCTGACAAAGTTAAAATACTTAACCTGAAATTGGAGGAAAAGGAAATGTAAATCCCTTCAAAGTTTGCCATGTCAGACTAAGGAAATGGGCCTGAGACACATCGCTGGGCTCCAGCAGGTTCGAGAGGCTCCAGCTCCTGGTCGCTTCCCATCCGCACCGGCTTTCTCAGGCTGACTGCCGGTCCAGGTGGGTTTGCTCCCTGCAGGAAGACAGGTGCTGTGATCAGACCCAGGCTAGGCCTGGTTCCTAAAGACAGCCGAACACTCGTGTTGGACGGGGAGGATGCAAGCAGGCCTTTCTGCTTGCACTGGCAGCACGTGCCGATTCATTCATAGGAGACATTTATAACGGAATTTTACATATTAGAGCTAATATTTCAGATTTTATTTTTATTTTGACATCACCAGTCAAAATGCAGTGTTAGTCAAGCCTTAAAAGCACTGTCTGTTAACCAAAGCAGCATTTATAGGCCCGCATTACCCATTTATTGCACACTGGGCAAAGAGCTGTCAAGAGAACCTTGGTGAATTCAGCATAGGTTTCTTCAGCATAAAAACAGTATAGAAGCTTAGTAACTTAATAACTTATATGAACAGTATAAAAAAAAAATCTGTATTTCATTATAGTATAACTACATATAAGGCTAGATAAAAATATACTAGATATAAATATATATATAAGTATAAATATACTAGATGTAAATATACTACATATAGTATACATGCTATGAGAATTAGAATCTGATACAGAAAGAACAGAACAGAGTGTCATGTAATTTTTCTGTGGATATGAACCATCAGGAATTCTTCATGGAATCCTTCACAGAACTCATACTAGCAGGGACTCGTGGACACTATTATTATTATAGAACTGGATATGTGTGAGATATTCTTTACAAATCACAACCCAACCAACATGCAAGTGAAATGTGATTAAAACACATTAAGTGTCCAGAAGAAATGAAGATGTCTGATGGATATAGAATATTTTTTAGCAGTATTTGTCCTTCCACCAAGTTAAATACCCTAATTTTGAAGGTGGTTTATTGTGCTTATAGAAAACATAAAGTAGGTTAATATTTTCTATTTGTTTAATATGATGCACTTTGTCAAAGATGTGATGAAGGCAAAATTCAATGGGTACCAAGTGGCCAAAAATGTCATGTAGTGTTCAGTGAAGCTTATAATGATTTTTCCATTGCTCTGCCTAGAACATCTGACCCTCAATGATCTCCAGAATTCTGGCTTTTGTCCCTCAGGAACTTGGCTTAACCTTTATGGGCAGAGTAGGGTTTCTAATGAGTCTGCCAGGAAAACGACGCATCCTTCCTTCTATTTTTAGCAAACTTTGGATCCAATTGATGAGGTTGCCGCTCTCATCGCTGCCACAGTCCATGACGTGGATCACCCAGGAAGAACAAATTCTTTCCTGTGCAATGCTGGCAGCGAGCTGGCAATTCTCTACAACGACACCGCAGTGCTGGAGAGCCATCACGCCGCGCTGGCATTCCAGCTCACCACCCGGGATGACAAATGCAATATATTTAAAAACATGGAAAGGTAAGCTCGAAACCTGGGGCACTTGTCCACCTACTAACATTTCCCACAGTTCTGTGTAACACAAGATAATAGAAACAAGAATCCTAGAGGAGGACAGGGCCTTGTGGACAACTGCAAATGGTCCTTGCAGAAGTTTTTGCTTCTGAGCATAGAGTCCTGCACAGGCTTGGGAGTTCTCCTGTAGCTTGGGTTTCTGCTGTGGGTAAAAAGGCAGACCTCGCCTAAGGAACTTACCGTGTGATTCTCAGATTAGCAAGTCTGGGAGAGTAATTTTGTATCACGACAGAGGACAAGCTGTGGCTGATGGGGTGGGTGTTTGCTAAGTAGGATGGAAGACAGGAGAAGCCTCACTGAAAACTTAAAAGCTTCATTGTAATGGAAAACATAAGGAGCTGTTGCTCTCCTTTCAGCTCTGGAAAGGCCTTTTAGCAGGAGGATGTGCCCATTGCCTTGGCATTCTCAATGCAGCACAGAAGTACTGCTGAAAACGTGGCTGGAGCAGGGGCTGCTGCTTCAGTGTGTGCTGACGGCCTGGGAAGGTGCCTGTGTGACACACGCRGCAGCCCTACCGTGTAGCTGGTGCCTCTGTTGTGCCCAGCTCTTGCGCTGTTTCTCCTAAGGATCCAGGGAGGCCTCCAGCACGCGCCTCTCCGCACACCGGCGGGTTCTGCACCTAGCAGAGATGCAGCATCCCCAGCGTTTTGCGCTGTTATTTCTTCCCTCAGCACCTCTCCACAACAAAAATGATCTATAGTATTTTTGTAAGACTCCTTTAGCAAGTGACCCTCTGTAAACCAGCATTCCTAATGGTCTCCTTCTCTATGCAGGAATGAGTATCGAACCCTTCGCCAAGCCATTATTGACATGGTCTTAGCAACAGAAATGACGAAGCACTTTGAGCACGTCAACAAGTTTGTCAACAGCATTAACAAACCCTTGGCAGCGCTAGAAGAAAATGGGGTAAGCAACACTATGCATCTTCTTTAAATGACGAGGCATGGCCTGGGAACCCTTGGCAATACGGAATTCTTATGTAGTATTCCAAGAAGGTTCATTAGAAATGGGGAGTTTAGAAATCACAGAATCATTAAGGTTGGAAGAGACCTCTAGAAATCATTTAGTCCAACCACCTGCACAGGCAGGGTCACCTAGAGCACGTGGCACAGGGCTGTGTCCAAGTGGGTTGGCAGATCTCCAGAGGAGGAGACTCCACAACCTCTCTTGGCAGCCTGTTCCAGGGCTCTGTCACCCTCACTGTTAAGAAATGTCTTTAGCCTCTGGGTTTGAATGCCCTTCTGCTTAACATGGTCGTCACACATTTTAAGGATGAGGGGGAGGCACCTGGATCCTATTAATATTGCAGTGCTGTGATGTTTTATGAGAACTAGACATGTACGTAGGGCCAGAAGCTTGGCATGTGTGCTTCCCTGCTAAAAATGCCATGAATCCTGTAATAGCAAAATTACTGCTGGTGGCGGAGCCTTGGGGTGGGTATATTGAGGGCTAGATGACACCCTGGAAGTGAGTGAGGGTGTGGGGGCCTCAGCTTTCAGTGCTGCCTGGCAGCGGTCGTGGGTTTTCTGCCTGCTTTCTCTTTTAATCTTTAAAATAGATGATGGTGGCATTATGTATCATGTAGACATAATCAATAGCCATCTGGAACTCCATGGAMGCAATGAAATTGCCTGTTAGGAACCCATTCTGAAAAACCACACCAGCTTCAATAACAGCTTCAGCCAGCAGTTTTGTTGCCAGTAAGAGCAGTGTATAATTTTGTTGGAATGGCTTTTACAAAGAGATTTTCAGAGATGGTTATAATAAAGTTTGCATTGATGGCGATGTTCTGTAGGAGCTGTAATGGTTGTCTGTGTTTTCCTACCATGTTTTCAGAAAGTTACATATTTGAATGTTGGGTGTAACGAGGAGGGCAGCCTTTCTGTCGTCAGAGGGTAGGAGAGGCAGAGATCTCATTCTTCACCCCTCAGAAGCAGATTGGAGCTACATGGAGGATATCTTTGTCCATAGGAACATATGCTAGAATTAGCTTTGTTCTTGGCACCCAGTGATGCTAATGGGAAGTATGTGAATGTGAAGCCAAAGTCCCAGYGGGATACTGATTTACTGACTAAACTAGGAGAGAGGCTAGGTCTGTGGCTTCAAGTGTTTTTCCCAGACAGCCTCATGTTGTATAACATGGCTTAAAGTCACAGAGAGTCTAACACTGATTTCTAGGGGTGTTGCATTGGATCTTATATAATTAAGAAGTTCTCTGCCCAGGACACATCTCCCCCTTGTAACAAGTGCCTGTCCACTGCTGCCAGAACCTGGAAAAGACAACAACTAGTTTCAGTATCCATGATCCTTAGATGGATCATTTATAAGTTAGATGTTACTACAGGTGGTACCTCCTACCTACTGCCAAAGGTTGGTCAAAAACATGTTCAAACTGTAAAGTTGTCTTCAAAGCTTAGTAAATGACAGAGCAAACAGCATCTCCTCAACCTATAGGCTATGTACAATGTAGTCAGATAGAAGTTTCATCAGATTCAGGCTTCCACAGGCCCTTCTGTGATTTCAGTCTCTTCTCTGTCCACTGCCTTGTCCTGCTCTTTCCAGTTCACTCGCACCGCTCTGCTCCTTGGCTTCTCACCGGCTCCGTCTCTTCCCCGTCCTCCTCCCCGCTGCCCGTTCTGCCTGCTTGCCAGGCTGCTGGTCTCCTTCAGGCTGCTCGTCTCCTTCAGGATTCCCAGGCTCTTTGAGCCACTCTCCTCCCTCTCCTTTCCTTTCTCTGCATTCAAATCAGGCAATCTCCTCCTCTTCCATGCTGCTGTTTTCAGGCTGCTTTGATGGGCTCCCTGTTCTTAGTTACAACACCTGGGCCTGGATAATGCCTAGTCCAGCAGAGCCAAGAACTGCAGTTACAGGGAGAGCCCTGCTCAGGTGCAGCCTCCAGCAGTCCCTAYCGAAGCTGCACAAACCACAGGTTTATTTTTCCAAAGCTTGAAAGTCAGCCAGCAGATTTGTGTGGGGCTGACTGCCTGAACCCAAAACTATCCATGCCACTGTACATGCCAGCTCCTCGCTCGTAAAGCTGTGCAGGTACAAGAAGAGGAAGAAGCAGAAATAGTTTCTGCTATCAGCACAAGCTGCTTATTTCCTCTAACCTTGTATTTAGAAGCCACCAAAACATTTTTAACTGTAATTTTCACAGGAAAAAAACAATCTTTGCCTGAGGCGGACACCTGGTGGGGAGACTTCAACCAAACAATTTAAATTGGCAGTTAGGAACAGTGTTAAACAAGATCTTTTAATATGAAGTATCAGCCTCCAGGCCAGCCTACAACTATAACTGTAGATGATTAGACTTTTTCATTCAGATTTATCTTTTTTTCCAAATATACACTTGTATTAGTTTATGATTATGGGGTGGTTTTATTTTCCAGAATCAGATTTTGCTTGAGAATAATAATAATTAGATTTATTTGAATGCCTGATGGACCTTTTTGTTTCAGAAGATTATAATGGAAACATAAGGCTGTCAAAATGGATAGAAAATTGTGAGGGTAAACACTTCTGCTCAGTTTCTTGAACGTAATAGTCAAGAAGGCAAGAGGGGGGTTGTGATTCTCTGCAGCTTTCCCAGCCCAGCGGTGCCGGGCACAGGCTCTGACCCTGCTGAGCCCTGTGCTCGAGGGCAGCTCCCTCCAGCACAGGCTGCTGCAGGGCCCAGGCTGCAGCCAGGGAGGAAGGGGTGGAAGGGAAGGGCACCTGTGCCCTGGCGCAAGAAAGGAGAGGGAGAAATGGGCACGTCGAACAAGCAGGGAGGAAACGGTGGCTGTCRTGAGGAGCAAGGAGGAGCAGCAGAACCCATGCAGATGGTGGATGTGGCAGTCCCAGAGAAGAGGGCAGTGCTGAACTCGAGAGGTTTATCTAGCCAAGTTCTTAAGGCGGGAGTCATGAGACTGCAAAAAGGCTAGGAACAATAGTTCATTTTTTAAGCAGATCARGAGGGAATACGTTTTCCTTCTTAGTTCTGAGTTTCCCAGTTGAGCAGGTTCCTACCAACAGGCCCGTGATGCTGGAGTGGGTCAGGGTGCTTGTTGCTAGCGGGACGCGCTTGCGGATCTGCTCCCAAGCCCGGCTGTGCGTCTGGCTGCAGCAGCAAAGCGTTTCCTGGCCTGTTTTCCAGGCATGGCTGTGACTCAGTGTGATGTTTGTAGGCTGCGCTGCCAACCATGTGTTCCAAATGGGACAGCTCCATTTTTTTWAATTATTTATTTTTTTTATACATATTTGTTCAAAGAACCATGCTGAGAAGCTGCTGTTTGTTTCCTTTCTTCTTTTGTTTCATAAACTGAAAAAAAATCCATTCCAGCTCCAGCATCCTTTATCCTCCCATTTCCCTTCATGATGTCACCTAAGCCTCGACAGGAAGCCGACATCTGACATGCGGAGACACCTCTGCACTCTGAGCAGGATGCCAGCACTAAGCACAGTTAGCACATTTTATTCCCAAGACATCCGCATCCAGCAGGCAGGACTTGCTCCTGGTTTGAATGGATCACAGAAGTAAACATCCGTTCTTGATTCCTGGTGATTTACCTAGTAGGATGTTATCTGCCCTCCTTAGCTGAGTGATCTCTACTCAGTTTCTCCTGTGAAACTGGGGTATATTCAGCTCACTCCTTCCTCTGCGTTTTCCCTGCTGTATATATAAAAATAGGGGAAGAACAGGTTCCCATAGACTCATTTTGGTGGAAGCTGTAGAGCTGTTTCTGAACCAGGAAACCACTACCTAATAATTTTTAGATTAATCAATATTCAGTTTCTTCCTTCAGGGAGAACTTTTTTCCACATAATGAAAAGTATGTCCTAATAAAAGATCGGACTTTCTGCTTCTTTATGGAAAGAAGCACATACAAAGTACTGCAGGAACYGGTGGCGTGGTTGTTACTGTTGTTATTACTGTTATTCCTTGTACTTCTTTGCTGTATCAAATACAGAGCCAGATGTGGTAGGTGCTGGAGAACTCTGATGTATTCCTTGCATCAAATAATTTCTAACGCAGGTGGAGAATAAGAGACTGTAGTAAATCTGTCTGCATCCATCCACATAAAGATTCGAGTAACAATGAGATCCCTATGAGTGACTTTTTTTAGATATCTTAATCACCGATCCTTATCCTTTGGAAACTTCTTTCATCAGAGCTCTGTAGACAGTAGCTTCTGATCTGGGTCACTGCAGCCTTCCCTTGCATTAGCTCCAAGTACATGGCTGCGCGTGCAGCCTGCAACCAAATACAGGCCATGTGGGCGCTGAAGCCCTTCCTAGCAAGATGCTGCTGCCCTGGAGCGTGTTCGAATCCGTCGCTTTAGCAGGGACAAACTCAGGGCAGAGAGAGGAGGCACCTGGCGCCCCATGGGGCCCGCTCTGCAACACTGCCCCTAYCTGGATGGGCTTACGCTTAAGTCTGTGCGCAGGGGGTGACCATGTGTCCTGGGGCACTCCTTCTCTTAACAGAWCCTCCACTTTTAATGGAAAAGCCCATTAATCTCTGTGTTTCAGTGGACAGATGTATTTTTCTGCCTTCACAGTGTGCATCCCTGTGTTCAGGGATGAACGCCCCCTCAACATGCTCTTAAGGACGCAGATAAGGCACAGAGGGATTAAGCAACTTGCCCAAAGATTTCCAGGAGCTCTGTCAGACAGACAGTGAATGAATCCAGAAACTAGAGTTCAGTGCTAGTTCCGAGTTGTAGCTAATCTCCCTATTTCCCTGTAAATTCAGCTCTAAGTACTTCTTGTCATCGAGGCAGGCCTGGTTCCTATGCAGAAACATGCCCAAAGCACAAAGCTTTTGAGTAMGCGCACAGAGACCTTGCTGATGGATTGTTTTCAATTCTCAACTGTTACAGAATAACAGTGATGGGGAGTCGGTCAAAAACGTTCTCACATCTCCTGAAAACCGTATCCTCATCAAACGTATGTTGATAAAGTGTGCGGACATCTCCAATCCCTGCAGACCMCTGCCGCAGTGCATCGAGTGGGCCGGGCGCATCTCTGAGGAGTACTTTGCACAGGTAAGGCACCTACAAAGGGCTGCTAAATTTCCAGGTGGGCATTTCCTTTACAAGCAAGAAAAGGATGCTGTATACTGTCAACCTTTGTTGACAAAGATCTCAGAAAATTGAAAGCTGCATTGCATAATGTGAAAATAGGATTTTTTTATATATATATTTTAATGCTGGGCTATTATTCATGCTAATGCAAGACTAGATACCTCCATGCAGAAGGAAGCTGATGGCTTCTACAGTGCAGTTTTTGAAGCACTTAAGCCTTTGTGTTGTTCTGCTTGCCGTCCAGCCAAGCACATTGCCGTCACAGGACATAGGGCGCGGAGCCGCCCACATCCCTACGCGCTGGTTCTGCCTCGGGAAGAGGCTGGTTCTGCCGGTGGGAGCAGCACAGGCTGCCGGCAGCGCTGAAGCGGGGCCCGGCGGGAGACCAGGGCAGAGTCAGAACAAGTGACAGAACAAATACTGACTTGGGGCCTTTCTACCTCCAAGGGGGGAAGGAGGATTAAGATATTTCACCCCCTCTAGTATGTACAGAATGGCATGGCTCTTGGAGGTTGAGTGGTGGAGCATCTCTGAAGTCCAAAGCAGTCATAAATTAAATCAGTAACTTGTGAAGCACCCCAGCACCAACTGTGTGTACATGCAGAAAATAAATGCATCACACTAGGAAACACGGGAAGAGTCTGTGCTGTCTGCTGTTTGGCTGAAACCTGTACAACGAGGTACTTAGGATTTACTTGTTTGTTCTTCAGATTTATTCTGATTCCTGTGTTTATTTAGCAGTTGCACACCTTGGTCAGTGCCAAAAAATCTGTTGCTAAAAGCACATCATTAGCAGAATGTGCCTCAGATGAATAACCAYGTGACTGTTCTTTGCAGACTGATGAAGAAAAGAGGCAAAGCTTACCTGTGGTGATGCCAGTTTTTGACAGAAATACTTGTAGCATCCCCAAATCCCAAATATCATTCATTGATTACTTCATCACCGATATGTTTGATGCCTGGGATGGTAAGCAAAACTCTGCTACGTTTCCTATCAATAAGTATTTTGAAAGCACTTGAAACTACTGTGATATGAAATTGTTCTCTTATGACTCCTAAAAAAAACAGTGAATAAAATGGAAAATTTTTGCAGTTTAAGTACATCTAATAAMCTCATTATAGCATTATAATAGCATTAAAATGGAAGCATTTTGATAGTGCCACAAACAACTCTCAGGGTTTTTCTTCTAAACGAGTTTCAGGCAATGTTTTAACTTTTTTTAAGCTGGCTTCTCTCTAACTGGAGAACAGACCGCATTCACTTTGATACCACACTGCACATAGTCKTTTTGTCCATGTTAACATGAGTTATTCTGCAAGACAAATTTCTACAGTCTGGAAACTGCTTAGGGGGAGCAGCTATTTCCTCCYGAGTGCAGCCTCTGTGGTCAAAGTGGTCAGAAATGTGACTCCCCTGAATGCTGGTTCCTGACATGTGACAGAGATTGGATGAAGTAGAATAATTACAAGCATGATTAGTTATGCCTCTCCTGGAAAACTGGGTCCCTTTGCTAGTTTTACAATACCAGTATTAAGTAGACTCAGAGAACTGTCTCCGTAGCCTGGGAGGATCCATGACTGATGAGAGCTCTGAATCCAGAACCATTTTGAACTGTCAGGTTGTCAGATTGAAGCATTCCTCCTCAGCACAGTTGCCCAGACATTTCAAGTGATATTTCAGCAGGCAGAATCATGTGACTGTTTCAATTCTGCAAACTAAATACGCTTTGCCCTTTCTTCCCTAGCATTTGCAGACCTGCCAAATTTGATGCAGCATCTGGATAATAACTTTAAATACTGGAAAGGACTAGATGAAAGGAAGCTGCGGAGCCTCCGACCACCACCAGAATAGCAATTAGGCCATGGTGTGTAACTTACTAACTCAGTGCATATTTATTCAAGCTCAGTTTTGTTCATGTGATTTCAGATTTGTTTTGGTCTCTTCAGTATTACAGTAAGGCTAGAGCTCATGCACGGGGGGAGCTTTCAGATTTGAGCGGACACGAGGTCAGCAGTTGACTCCCCCAAGCTACAYGTGTGGACTCCAACAAAACTGACCTGTGGAGTGGAACTGCGCTGGATGCTGCAGCACTTGGACTGAAGAGGGGCTGTTAGTGAACATAGTTTTGCATTATCTCTGCACCAGTGTGTGAAGCTGGAAGACCTTGAAGAATCCTCATAAAAAGAACATTCACTAGAAGATTTTGCTTAATCCTCAATTCTGCAAGAGAAATAAAGAAATATCTATTAATAGTGACTCTCAGCTTTTATTGGAAAGCTACATGCTTTTTATAAGCACTTAAGACAGTTACATAGAACAATCAGACATTTAAAATGCAAGTCTCCATGAAGGAATTTTTGATCTATGAAAAATAGATCTACTCTATTTTTTCACATCACAGAAGGTGCAATCATTCACTTCTGAGCACTACTGAAAGTGAGTTCTCTTTAAGAAATTTAGTAGCAAATGTAAAAAATAACACAAGATTTTTTGAGGTTGATCGTTAGCATCTATGATTAAAATGTTTTATTTATTTTGTTAGATGTTCAATATTTTCTATGAATTTATAAATACTTAAAAGCCAAAGCCAACTTTAGATGCATTACAAATTTACATGATTCATACTCATTAATATACATTTAATTGATGTACAGACCTTTTATTTTCATAATGCAAATACAAAATATTATACAATGATACATTTTTATTGCACTGTAAGGATAGATGTGTATGTTTAAATATTGTCTGATTTATGTTAATTAAAATAAGTTTTATTGAAAAGGTCTCACTTGAGAACRGTAAATAAACAAGACATGTATACTGTCTGAGCACCAGAACARCAGGCAGTAGCGCTCTCTCAAACCAGTGACGATCACCTGATCTTCCCCTGGCTACAAATGTCGGAATTTTTTGTTTTCCCCCCCATGAAATTTTATGATAAAATTCCCTGWCAAAGTCTGCCTTATTTTATATAGTATTTCTACAAAGCATTCCACAGCATTTATGAAGAGGTAATACTAAACATCTAAGGAATTTCAACATTTTATAGCCTGTGTACTTTCCTCTGCCTTGACAGAAACCGAACAGAGAAACAACAACAAAATCCTTTAACTCGAGCAGTTTGTAAAGGCTGTGTACCTTCACAATTTGAATGAAACCKTCATAGCAAGCACCAGAAAACAATAAAATGTATATTTTAAGAAGTGTCAAAGTCCTAGCCATTTCATTGGAGCTGTGTACTTATGTTGTAGTGAAACGTGTATTTATTTTGTAGTTTGCAGACTGTCTAACAGCGCCCTGCAGTTCTTGTAGAATCCCCAGGACGCTGGGTGCCCAAGCTGGGCTCGACCTGGCAGCCAGGCTGCCCTCTGCAACGCGCCGGGCGCCCCGCCGGGCCCTCGGCCATGAGGGCAGTTTGGGGGCTCTGCGAGGGCTGAAGGGCCTTCGCGGGGGGCCGCACAGCGAATCACTGCGCCAAGGCCAGGGCTATTGCCCGAGAAGGGACTTTCRGAACCACTTGCCAAGGAAGCAGCACAAGCAGCCGAAGGAGCAGAGCCGTGCAGGGCTGCAGCAGCAGGAGCGCTGGAGCAGGTAGGGAAGGCGTGCGGCCCGCTGCCCCCGCCTCCGTGCCTCTCCCTCACTCCAGCTGATGAGCCCAGGCCAGCACCAGTACCAGCTCAGCGCTGCGCACGGCCCGGTGCAGCCTCTCTTGCTCCTCCCGGCCGGTGTGTTCTCCCTCCTTCCCTGTACCGGGTTTGCGTGCTGTGAGGGCAGTGAATTCCCTTCGCTCCGTGGCCCAGGGCTGCCTCGGAGCAGCTGGGCTCAGGTGTTAGCTCGGCAGCGACAGCAGGATCCCCGCTGAGGGTGCAGTGTCCTTGTCCATCTTGCAGGAGCTCCACGGGTTTTACAAATGGGATGGATATATCCCCAGGCCAGAATAAAGAACCAAGTATCCCCTTTTCCAAGGAGGGAAGGATGCAAGGAGAGGGAGAGAAGGCGGCCAGATGCTTTGCTTTCCTGGCAGTAACACACTGTGTTTCCATATATATACGTGCGTCTATTGTGCTCTGCTGTAATTTACCACCTGGTCTTAATCTCTTCCATTGCATGCAGGCTCCTGTGCTTTATTCAGGGAAAAGCTCCTCTGGTTCCATGAGGGAAAGCTACATTCCACCATTCCTGCTCTACTGTCTGTACTTGTCTGTTGCGAGGAGGAGAGGAGGGGAAAAGTAACAGCMTGTGGGTCCAGAGAGTGTCTGCAGGAAGGGAGTAGAAGTATTTATTCCGGAGTGTAGTTAATGCGCTCGGTTGTAGTAACAAATAGTTAAAGCAGTTCATTTAATCTGCTATAAAAAGGAAGCAGTGCATCATCATTGAAAAGAGCTAATCAATGTGATTAATTCCCTGAGGATCATACACCATCTTTAATGCCATTACTTGGAGCATAGTGCGATACTAATCAGCCTACTGTATCAGCCAGACCTATGTTGTACCATAACTTAACATAAACACTAGTTTGCAGCCACTGAATGCAGCCCTGCCTGTTCTGTTGTCCCTCTGAGTTTTGTTGTTGCCAGGGTCAGAGTATGATTAAAGGAAACCCGGAACTGCCCTGTCTGACCCTCACCCAAGACATTTTCCAGACGGATTCTCTATGAATCCTGATTCTCTTGCTTCTCAGCCTGACAGCTCTGAACCGTGCAGGGCCTCGCTCCTTCCTCCTACCTACGAACTGCCTCTCTCTGGTCTCACAGCCACCTCTCGCATATTGTACATTTCCTACAGCCCTTCCCATTTTGCTCATGGGACATAGGGAAAATCCCAGAATTAGACTGCATGTGTTTGGGGGCCTTTTAATGGCTTTTAATGTGTTCAGTAAATTTTAATGGGCCTATGATCCCTTGGAAGGGTAGAAAACTTGATGCCTAAGCTATACGTTGGGGTGTGTGCTAAAGAGCGCAGAGTTGAGCTATACAGCTCTGCAGGGCTATTTCCAATCCCATCTCAACCACCTCCCACCTTTCCTGTCCGGTTTCCTCTCCCTGCCTGTAGCCACACGGGCAGCCAGGCCCAGCGCTGCACAAAAGGGCATCGAAAAGGGTGGATTCGCTCCAATTGTTTTTGCTTCTGACAACAGGTTTGTAAAAATAAGGCTAAAAATACCATTGAGCGAGCTGTGAATTGGCAGAGGACATCAGCATTTTTTGTCAAGATCAGGAGGTCAAAATGGGTTAAAGGGTCACAGGAAGTAGCTCCTTTTTAAATTTTTAAAATATATGAGGTAATTTTATCATCTTTTTAGTCCCAGTATCTATCTCTGGTTTCCTTGTGTGGGATTTCACTTTCCTGTATCTGCAGTTTAACCTCTCRTAACACTTGAAACTTTTTTTAAAGATTAAAAAAAAAAAAAGAAATTTAGATATTTGTCTCATTTCATTCCACTCTACTGTAACCTGGTCTTAGGAACAACCAGTTACCACCCCTATCTGATAGCCTGTTGCATTACCTAGAGATAAACTCTCATCATAGTGCTTAAAACAAAATGAGCCACTTGGGAGTTGCACTTTGTGTGTGTGGTGATGGAGTCACTGAATGACTCCAGAAGGTGTGTGGAAAATCTGTGCGGATGAAGACTTCTGTAGGGAGCAAACACAGCCAAAGGCTCCTGCACTGTGGAAAGGTGCACGAGCTTCATGGAGGGGACGGTCCGGGCTCCTGGCCAAGCACTGGAAGGTCTTTTTGTTATAAAACAGTAAATGCTCTGATGTGACGTTCCTCACTCCAGCATTGAGGGGTCCCTGGATCCCACTGGAAATTTTTTGGTCATTTCAGCTTCTCTTTCTTTCTTCCCCAGAACTGTACAGCAGATGCTCTGTGCTGTGAACATGGGTCTAGTTTAGCGGAGGTGAGTCTCTCTGCTCTTGTTTTGTGAGCAGTCTGCGGGGGCAGACACGGGGCTGTGCTCAAACAGGGAAGAGCCTTCACTGCGTGCGCCTGAAACACCCCCAGCTTCCGACAGGCCGGCACCATTACGTAGAGCCCACCTTTCCCACTCTCTGTACAGCCCACCCTTCCCACTCTCGTTTGAACACTAATCTGAGTGCTAATTCCTGTGCAACCAGCATGCTGGAGAGATCTTTTTGCCTTTGGGGGTTTAATCTTAAAGCTTTGTATTTTTAAATTGAATAAGGCTCAACCTCCAGTATTAAATGACCCATWTAGAATTATTAACTCTATTTTCCTGGCTCTATTTTCAATCTGGCAGTATTGCTGCTAAACCTGGCTAGCATTTTAGTTGCTTGTAGATAAGTCTGGTACTGTAATGATCTGGCAGAGAAATGTTGGCTCCTCGGTGAGGTGTCCTAGGGGAATATCCCAGAGCCTTCAAGAGACAGATACAAAATGCTGCAGAGCATGAGATTGTTCTTAAATCAGAGGAACTGGAGATGCTGTCCAGAGCTGGCTTGTCACACGTCTGAAGTAAGTTGGCTTTCATGCTACAGTTTTTCCAGTGGCTGAATGTGGATTAAAAATCACCTGAAACTGACTGGACACCTAGTTTTTGCTCCACTGCTTTCTTCTATAACYACCTTTACTTGTCTCAATAGAGACTTCCCTGATAGGACACTAAGAAAACGTGTCACAAACATGAAGGAATTCAAGCAGTAACAAAGCTGTTCTTTCATAAAAGAGAATAAAAGTTAATAAAATTAAATATCTACTAATCCCTCACATGGTGCCCGGAAACTGCATGGGGAAACTGCAGTCAGTTGTGCCCTCCTGCAAGAGCAGCAGGGCTAGAGTTGCAGCTCTGCCTGCAGCGCTGGAAACGAAGTCTCAGGGCTATTCTGGAGCTTCAAAACACAGGGTCTCCCCGCCAGGGCTGACACGGTGCCTCCTCCACGGCGCAGCCGTCCCRGGGGGCTTGTTAGGGACGAGTGGCCTGCATGGCAGTTCAGCCCGACGTGGTGTTTGGATGCAGAAAACGAGCTCTCGAATCACCACCGCAGCACTGCCCCTGCTGCGGTGCGGACAGAAGGGAACGTCACGGAGCTTCAGGTGGGCTTTGTTTTGTTGAAGCCGTGGCTCTGCGGGCAAAGGCTCGTGTGCCGAAGTCCACTGAAGGCTCTCTCCACCTGACTGCTCTGGGTGTTGTTAGGGCAAAGTGTCTCTCGTGCTTTCATTTTGTTTTGTTTGTTTTCTTGCCTTCCATTTCTGTCTCCTCTTTTTCTTCTGATCCAGTTTGCCAACAGGTCTTCCCTTAACATCCACCAGCCTTAAGTCTCCCTCAGGCACAGCCTAGCAGCACCTCGCAGTCCTGTCGCTCATGGAGGCTCTGCAGCTCACAGATCAGCACAGCACCGCTTGCTTTTTCTGGTTTCAGTTAAAGTAAGCCTGGAAAAACACCACATCACAGCGGAAAGCCTTCCAGTGGTTTCCACGGACAGAAGGAGCGTATAAAGATAGCACCTAAAACGGCGTGTGCGCAGCCTTCAGGGCTGCAGGAGCAGATGGCGCAGCCGGGCGCTTGCTGGAGCGGGAATCACTCTTTCCTTGGCTTGCTGCTCCCCCCGTCGAGTGGCGAGAGTCACTGCTAGCGCCGGRAGCCCCTCGCGGGCCAGGGGCTCGGGATGAGCAGGGGCTGCCTGGCCCTGTGTGGCTCGTGTCCCTCCCGAGCGACACGCGGCCGCCTGCAGGGATTCAGCCGGGGAAATTACTCAAGGGAAAAGTTGCTCCTGTTGGGCTTTAATGTTCCAAAGGGGTGTCTGATGTGGATCCCTCCTCAGTTCATGGCATCAGCTCCGAGCTGGAGCTGGGCAGCCTGAGCACCAAGTTTGTTTACAAGCGAGAGGTCAGRCTGCAGCTCTCGGCCAGGCTGCAGCTCTCCGCTCCGGGCAGGGGGGAGGTTCATCCTCAGCCACAAGAATGAGCTGGAGCAGCTTTGACTGGAGTTCCTTGGAATTCAGACCTTGGGATGTGTTAGGAACATTGCTTTGCACCTTCAGTGAGAACAGGGCTTTTTTTGGCTAAAATAAAAACGTTACTTTGCTGCTAATAGTTTTCTTTACAGTGAATTTTTTTCTTGATGGACCCTAAGTGCTTTACAAGAAGACCCCGCTGTAGCCCTTTTGCAAGCAGGTATAAAAGGTTGCCAAGTGGCCCAAGGGCTTGTGTGAGGCTGTCCAGCAGAAACCTTGGCCTAGACTTGGGGCTCTCAGATCACTCTTGAGAGCTTGGGTTTGAGCCATGCTGACTGATCAAGAAAGGGGAAAGAGAAACCCTAGAAAGCAGCTGCTTTCCTAACACGAGCCCTGCCAGTATACAGCAATTCGGGCAGAGCTACCTGACACTTACAAAGCTGAAGTAAATATTAGTGACTTATATAACTCTGCCTCAGTATTTATTAGGAAAGTGTCRTTTGTGTTGCCTTCATTGCAAGAAGAGTCAACAGAGTTTCCAGCAGATGATGATGCTCATTGCCTCCCTTGTCTTCCTCAGAGCCCCTAGCAAGGCCTCTGCGTTACTATCTCTAGCCATCACAAGGCTATTTAGAGATGCAGCCCAGGGACCATCTCAGGCCTGGAATCATGACGAGGCCCTGGGGAAACTGGAATTGCAGCTGAACCAACCAGGGGCAGACAAGATACACTAGCTTTACACAGAAAGCCACTGAGGCATCGAAAGGACACAGCACAGCAAGCTGATAGTTGCTTTTCCAGGCGAAACAAAGAAAAAAAGTAGTATTAGACTTAAACAGATGTTCGTATATGTTTTTGCATCAGTTCAGCCTTTGACTTTTCTGGCTTGCTTATCTCTCTTAGGAGCAATATATTAACTACAGAGTTAATATATAGGGAGAGGACTGCAAAGCAAGGGAGAAGGTTGTAACCAGGGGGATGTTGAATTTGAAATGGCTGTTGTGAAGTCTGCACCAGGAATGTAGGCTCTTAAATCTTTTAAGTCTGATGGGCAGTGAAGAAGTCAGATTATTCTGTAATTATCTCCATAAGGTGTCCTTTCCTATGTGCCASTACCAGTGACCTCCTTGGGCATTCTCACAAGTTTGGAGCTTAACACAACTGGAAATCAAATCATGGCTTTAGACCTTGTGCTTCCATGTGTGGGGATGGGAGCGAYGTGACCTTCTCTGTGCTGGCAGAGGGGCTGAGGCAGAAGAAAGGTCAGGCTCTGTGGGACCAGAGGGGAAAAGCTGCAGCTCATAAATCAGGCTTGAACCACCCCAAAGTCAAGTCACTGAAGTCACAGCGAGGCTCTGCAGGCAAAATGACAGCTAGGCTTTTATGTACGCGCAGTGGCATCACAGGTCGATACTGTGACTTCTTTCTCTTCTTTAAAGCTTTCATGTCAGAGGAATCAAAGTCCTCTACCTCCTCTTCCCAAATTGCCTCGAGTTAATAATAGCACAAATGGTAGTTAGCCCAGGCTTGAAAGCAGCTTTGATTAGGTATTGCTCTTTGATAAGCCATTTCAAGGGCAGGAGGCAAAGTGTTTATCTTGCTTGGAAGAGAAGCCTGATGAGCAACCGCTTTTCCTTTGCTAGGATAGGGCAGAGCTTTGTTATCACCGGAATATGGAGGCTGGGGAGGTGCATTATGGCTGCTGCTCTTACCCTGGGCTGGTTCTTTACTTTGTGCAGGAATAAAAATTCCTGGATCCAGCAGCCCATTTTCATGCACAGCAGCAGCTCTGGATGGACCCCTGGGGCCATCCACTCCAGACTGTTCTCCAATGTCTGTTTTTCCTGCCTTTGGCAGTCCTTGGGAGGCCCAGCGGGATTACAAGCRCAGTGAAACACAGGAGCGCAGCTGGATCTGAAGAGGACAAGAGAGCTGAACTTTCATGAGCATCAGGGCCCTTCTAATGACTTGCTGCTGTCCACAGAGGGGAACACAGAGTTGGTTTTGTGTTTGACTGACCCATTTAACTCTCGATGCAATAACCTTTAAGAAATGAAATGATTTCACGTACCAACAAGATACCCAAACCCTCCCCACGTGCCTGTGCGGAGATCTGGTATGTGAGCACCAGGCCCTCCTTGAGGCCTTTCCTCACCAGGTCATCCTTTATATTCTGTCCCAACCCCCTGCTGCCTAGGGGCGCTTTGCGCCTGCGGGCCGCTGACTAAACCTTCCCTAGGCCTCCAGCAGCGCCTAGGCACTCCCTGGTGCAATGGGTGGCGCAACTAGAACCGGTAAGAGCGGAGCCGAGCCGCCCCTGTATCTCCGTACAAGAASCTTTACAAACACTGCCTATAAATGGCCAGGCCATTCAGTGGTCACTTCAGCAAGAGTTTTGCAGACTATGAACTATTATGAGTCGCAYGGTTTGGACGCATTTACACATTCACTCCCGCAACCCGCCTGCGGCTTTCGGCGCATGGGASAGGGACGCGGAGCTGCCTGGAGCACCCGGCGCCATTTTGTGACCACGCGGTTTCAAGGACCGCTGCAGGGGCTATGGCGGAGGGGGAAGGCGGGCCTGGGCGCGGCGCCACGGACCGGCCGGGAGCCGCCACAGCTTTAAAGGAAGGAGGAGGAGAAAGAAAAAAAGGAGGCGGGAAAGGGCGAGGCCGGTGCAGTGCCCGCCCGGCAGCAGTCACTGCCCGCCCTCCGCGCCCGGGCGGGCAGTGTCGGCGGGGCCGGGCTCSAAAGGGGGCCGTCCTGCAGGAAATGGCGGCGGCGGGAGCACGTGGCGGCGCGGGGCCTCCCCTCCGCGGCGCGGGGCCCTGCGGGCCGAGGTGAGGGCTCTGCTCGCTGCCCCAGCGCGGCCGCATGGCGCCCGCGGGGCGGCGGAAGATGGCGGGTCTGCGGCGCGCGCGTCGTGGCCGGGGTCGGGGCGGCGATGGCGGCGGTCGGCGCGGTTACCTGCCGTTAGCGGCGATTCTCCTCCCGGCGCGGGGGTCTCTGCGAGGCGGCGGCGCGCGGTGTCCGCCGCGGGCAGCGCCGTGCGGATGGGGCGCACGTTGGGTTCAGGTGCTGGGCCGGGGGGCGGGGAGCAGCCGCGCGCGGGGTCCGAGCTTGGCTGCGCATCGCTAATAAGCGTTWCAGTTACCGCTGCCAACAGCAGAAATCGGCACCTACAAAACACAGCCGGGTAGCAGCAAGGGTGTTGCCCTCCAAGGAAGGAGGGCAAGCTACGGGGCCAGCCTGGGAAACCTCCTGCAGGAGAGCACGGCTGTTCCCSGGACCTCCAGGAGTTTCTTGGGGAGAAAGAGGCCTCCGGAGGACTAAGAAAGTGGAGCCAGTGAAAGCATATTGCCTCCGCTGATACTCTCCTCCTACATTAAACGGTGGAAGAACAAGGCCTGTCTGAAAGATGGAGTCAGGACCTACTTCCTCTACCTACAAAGTTCTTCTGGCAATAAGAGGGAACAAGTTAAGGATGTTTCTAAAGCATTGAGCGGCTGTATTTGACCAGAACATTCGAAAGTATTTTTTTAGGGCTGTCACGTTGCCTGTTGTTGCATTTGTGCTTTTGTAGTGGTCTCACCTGTGTGCTTTTTTTTTCCCCTTAGCATCGTGGGTTCCTTTGCTCCCAGCTGCAGGACTGGATGACRAGGGACGCTGGGCATGGTGCCGATCATGGTAACCACTTTGGAAACTGTAGCTCTTTGCTCACTGGTGTCTCTTTAGCCAYAGAGAGCTCCTGTGCAGGAGACGGTCTTGTTCCCTTGTTAACCACTGCAGCCCCGTGAAAGGGCTTCATGGGATGCCCTCCAGTGGTGACAGTGCAAACTGGTATTTTAAACCTAGGAGCAGAAGGGAATTGGGAAAAAAAAATGGTCCAAAGTATTTGATGCCCCTAGACAAGGGTACCTTGGGCCTTAGAACATGCGGTTCTTCATGGAGGAGGGAGATGCTGCTGATTGTAGCTGTGGCTGTGACCCCTGATATCTAAGAGAGGCCTGGGTTATGCTGGACAAGTGAAGTTTTTATTAAATAAAAGCATGGCAAATTCTCTTTACATGTTGATTCTGATTTGCTACAAATTGTCGCTTACTTGTTCTTCTTACAGGCCACRTTCTGTTCAGCAGGCTGCTGCTTTTTGAGTTATCAGGCTTGTGTTGTCCAGCAGATGGATCCAGCTTGCAGTGCAGTGACTGAGCTTGTCCCATTCCCATGGTGCCAGGGCACTTCATGGCTGGCTTGGTGAAGCCGTCTTTGCAGAGCTCCTAARGGATGGTTGTGAATTCCTGGGGACCTCAGGAGAGTCCACCAGCTGGGAAATCTTTTGGACTGAGCTCCTGTAGCATCTAAGGCAAACAGCTAATCCAGAATACAGGTATGGATTAAACACTGTGTTTGGAAGCTCTTGGTGGGGAGTGGGGTCACATGTTGCTGTGCATAAAAGAATATATGGCTACACCAGAATCATTCAGTTTATCCAGCAGTCATTCAGACTTAAGGACTTGGGGGACTTAGTTTTCCTAATGCTTMTACTGATATGTGTATGTCATCTTTCAGATGCTTTTCTCTAGCTTTGAAGAGGAGTATGGCTCTTGATGTGCCAGATAAAGGTAAAAGACATTTCAATGGGTAGCAGCTGGGCCTTGGATCAAGACATATATTTTTTTAGCAAATCAGTTTTATTTTAGCAAATAAAACAGTTTGGGGTGTGGTGCTGCGGTCTGGTGCAGAGGATCAAGATCTCTCAGCCGTGTTCACTGGCAGGGCTTGTTAGTGGTAGCCAGGCTCTGTCTCCTCACGCGCTCTGCGTTTTCCATGATTTCCAGCCAAGATACCTTTGGCTGGTAGGCACTGGCTGTTGTGCTCACTGCAAGGTGCAGCAGCTGAAATTCTGGCCTACGTCATGGAAGGTCTGACCAGAGGATGGTCAGCCCTTCTGCTGTGGAAATCTATCGATTTCTGGTAAACTAAGATATGCTGTGTTTATATAGCTCAACATTGCTAAACCCTTCTTTTTTGAGCCTTATAAAATAAATCAATGTACAAGAGAATAGGGGAGCAGTCACTGCCATAATGACAAAATCAGTTCCTGTTTGCATAGTTTTCTTAAAGCCCAAGGAGATATTCAGGGAGATATATTTTTTTTCTTTCAAGGGCATTTGGAGAAGAACAGACAAGCTTTTGGCACACAGTTCTGCATCAGGCTTTGTTTATTCATAGGGACCCTATATATTGTAGTGTTGCTGTTCTGACTGTTCCTTAGAATGGAAACTGGAACCAATGGTTTTGTAATGAATGAGAAATAAATCTKTGGAAAAGCCTCTCTGTAAATGACTCTTCATTGAATTCATGGAGTTTTAACAAATGAGGGTGTTTAAAGCTAGACAAGAGTGCTTGACAGGCAGTGCTTTTGCATTTGTCTGATATCCAGAAACTAGATCTGAACAAGGACACTTCAGAAGAGTGTTTGGCCAGAATATTTGCAGCGCATATTGAAGACCCTCAGCTTAAGGACAACGTGAGAGGTGAGGATTCTCCAGTGCTGGGGAGAAGAACAGGTTTGTAAACTGTGTGTGCATTGTGGGTRCTGAGGATATACCCAGGTAGCCTAAGTGGCGGGTGAGAACAAGCTAAACGTGAAGCTGGAGTTTTGTGTATGTGGGCAGTCAAAGCACCGCAAAAGGCCTTGGTCCACTGGGTTTTGCTCCTTTTTCCCCTTTCTTCAATGGATGAATGACTGAAAAGCATGGGCATTTTGTAAAAATGTCTTTTAATGTTTAAGAATGTAGTGGATGTTTATTTCAAAAAGCCACACTGCGTGGTGCAAGCTAACATGGGGAGGCCCGTTTGATTATCTTGTGTCACAGACTTCATGTAGCAACAAGAATACTTGATTGTGAGTTCAGCTTCATGGTTGGAGTGTTTTCAGTTCTGTCTAACAGCTGTACAGTGATTAGCCTTTTGCTATTTTGGTTTTTCTTTGACTTTTTAACTTCATCAGACACAAGAGTGGAGTTAATGCTTGCTTAGGAGCAGGGGATTTCCATAGGCATCAAATGGGTACTGAGGGAGGCAGTGATCCAGCTGCCACTGTTGCTTGGAGGCAGTATCACCTCTGAGAGGGATGGTATCCATTCCTAACTGGAGAATGCTGAATTGAGGCCCAGGATGCTGGTGGGTCTTGTGACTAATGGTTTTCTGCTAYGGTCGTGCTTAAGAGGAGATAAACCAAGGTATGCTTAGCAGCTTTTTTTGAGCACTACCTTCCACGGAAAAAAAAGCATGACAGAGCAGTTAATGATGAGAGATGACTTTTCTCAAAGTACAGAGATGTGGCAATTRCAGAACACAAGGTTATGGGAAAGCAATGCCCAGAGGCACAGCAATGCGATTATGAATCCGTAAGATACCAGGCGTTTCCAAAGCAAAGCAGGGGTGGACAAAATGCTGGAAGTGGGAATTGAATGTGTAAAGGTGCTGGGCAATATCCGCATTGAAAAAGGACAGTTTGCAGTTCTCATAGTCTAGCAGGATGCCAATCCGTCTGGGGGGAATAGTAATTCTGATGTCTGGTGTCATCCCGCTGTGCAGGAACTCGTATTTGTGCCTGCAGGCGAGAAACAGATGCATCTGACCAAGGGCACTGACTGCCCTCAAAGGAAGCATTTTGTGGATGCAGCTGCGTTCTAGGGTACATTTCATGCTTCACACATGCAGGGTGAAAAACACAACCCCTTCTCTCCTTTGTGAATGATGTGCACAGCCTGAGTCCCAGCTGCTCTGTCGAGTGGCGGCTGTGCTTGCCCAGCAGTGGTGTGTTCTCCTGTGCCACACAGTCTTACCCTGCAATGTACAGTTGCCTGTCTAACCCATGTAACAGGCATTTTATTTCACAGACTGGGATAAGATTAGAGGAAGACATTGGACTCTCCAGCTTTTCCCTCTTAGCGAAATGGACAATGTGATGGGTGCCTGATTGTCCCTTCYATGGAGAGATGCACTCTGCATTAGGCCAGTTAAACTTGCTGCAGAGCAACACAGTCATTCAGCCCTGCAGCTAGGTAGCTATGGGCACTGGCAAGGAGAGAGGTGGAGAGGTGACTCATCCTGTCTTTCTAGGCCTACTTACTCCCCCAGGGTCAGTGGTACTGAGCCCACTTCCATGCCAAAGGCATGGGAACAACTGCTCCCACCTACTGTGAGGGAGCGTAATCCCCTGGGTACAGGCTGCCTGACTCAGTCAGGCATCATCTAGACTATCTGGCTTCCTTTTCTAAATTCTATTCCTAAATAGCAATTCTAGATGCTTTTTCTACAAAGCCTCCCCACTCAGGCTAGTGTTGGTTAGGAGAGTCCAGTCTGCTCCAGCTGTGCATATTCATCTACTAGAGGGTGGCCTCTCTTTTGTGGCTCTTGGGTGGTAGATCTCAGTGGTGGGCAGGAAGGTGTCCTGTATGCAGCCCTGGTGAAACAACAACTTCCTCATGAGAATAGACCTGCCTCGGGTAGTCTCTGTTCAAGTATTGTTGGGTTCTTTACCAGTTACTTAAAACAACTCTCCTTATTGTGACACACACACACACACACACACACATGAGAGTCTAAAATGCCTTTTTGAGCAGAAATGAGAAATTTTTACTTAGCTGCAGTGAGTTACCTGGCATTTCATGAGGGCCAGCTCCTTCCCTAAACACTTCCTCCTCCCACACCACTCAAATCTGAGAAAATTTCCCAGTAGAAATGGGTATGGCAGTGACTGAAACAAGCAATAGCCCAGCTCTGTTTTCTGTCCCCTGCTGTCCATGCTCATTGCTCCAGAAGAATGAGAACAAACCTCAATGCACCTCTTAGCTCAATGTAGCAAGAAATCAAATTAGCCTTCCTGCAGTGTAAGGAAGAGTCATTAACTTTAGTGGGTTTAGTCTCCCTCATTAAGCAGCATTTCTTGTCGTGTGGGAGGCGAGCGGCRGCTCTGACTCTGGGTGTGCAGCAGGGCAAGTGCTGCAGTTAAAACCTCTCCCTGAGCGCCAGCAGGCAGAGGATGGACATCTCTGGCACTGTGCTGTGCCGCTCTTACCATGTGCTGAGTGTGTGCCCTCTGTCCATGTTCCAGGTGATATCTGGGCTCCTCGCTCAAGGGAACCCAGAGGTACATGGGCAACTCTTGCAGGATGAGTGGGGAACTGTTCACAGAAGCAGTAGGAGACAGCTAGGGATGCCATCACCTGGCCCTTTGACCAAGCACCTTCTGGGATCCAGAGTGCTGGGCTGGGTTCTGAGTGGAGCCATCAGACTCTTGCACAGGACTAGTGAGCAGAGCACTTCTCAGCAGTGGGGAGGGAGGTCTCACTAATGTGCCAGCGAGTCAGAATCTCTGGTCTGATAATGAATTCCACATATGTTTGGATGTAATTGGACTCTTAATTAAGTTGACCACTAAGTCACCATTTCTAGTTTTTGGTAGAGCTTGATTAATCATCCTAAAGGAGGTGGCAAAAGAAAGGACATCTGAATCCCACTCCAGGTATGTGACTGGCTTTGTTTCCTTGGTGCTTACAAAATGTCAAAGGAGATAAAACTAACACAGAGAGAACCAGTCCCAGAAAACTGTCCCAGAGAGAACCAGTAGATTCAGCTGAGGCCTCTGACACTTCTGCATGTGAGTATGGCTGATGGTACCTCCTCAGAGAGGAGAGAGATCAAAAGCAGTTGATTACAACCAAGTTTAACCATACACTGATATGGTTTCTAGGCTATATGGATCTATAACTGGCTGGCTTCCCACTGGTRTTTCAGTGACCTAGAACAAGGTCTTTATGGATAGTTTTGTAATGCAGATTTTGCTCTTGGGATCGTCTCTTTCATTGTAAGGATATCATTTAATTTTAAAATTTACTTAAAGATTCTAATATCCTTGCAAAAATACAGTTAAAAGTGCCAAAGACTAAATGTCAGAGGCCTCTGGTTAAGCACTTTGTTTGAGTGTTGATAAAAAAATCTATGGCCCTGTACAACTAGGAGCTCTCTGCTGCTYTGCTTGCAACTGTACCTGTAGGATGTGTCTGTAGGGGACATGTAGCCTCCACGGCCCTTACCTTGACGGGGTGATGATATGTCTCATGCACCAGGATGAGTTGTTTGCTCCCAGGTAACCATGTCTTGGAGTGTTTTCAAAAGCCACGCCAACTCTGTATTCTATATCTTCCTCAACTTCTACCTCCCAGTAATGCTTTCCTGGAAATGGGATCAGACTGCCCAGGATCCCAATACATCTGTGGGAGACAGACAGGACTATGTGCTTTGGCAGGGATCTTTGGCATTGCTATTTAAAATGCTTAGGTATATATCTGAACATTAAATATCAATAATTGAGTCACTTTAGTTGTTTTCATAGCAGCACAGGGCAGATATTTGACCACAGTGAAGTCCATGTGCTGAGGGCCTGACCTGCAGGTTTCTTTGTGATACCTACCCTGTTTTTATTTTTGTGTAGCTTTGAGTAGAGAGCTCCCTGAACACTTTCAGGAAGAGGAGGAATAGCAGGCTTCACTCTCTGAGTTTTCTGGATAAATTATTACTTGTTAGAAAAGAGAGTGCTGTAGTGAGCCCCAGTACCTACAGGTTTTGCATTTTCTTCCCAAGTAACCCAGGGCTTTGCCTGTCACTCACCAGCAGGAATGCAGCATTGGAATGACATGAAACTCCTGGGGCAGTTGGAGAGGAAGATCTGTCTATGCAGTATTTAGGTGGAGTAGCAAGAATTGAACACTGTAGCAGGTTCTCAGGCTGTAAATACACCTAGGTACTCAGGCTGTGAAAAGTTTAACAAAAACCTCGTTGAAATGAGGCTCAGAGGAGCCACATATATGATTCGTGAAAAGGGGTAAAGGAAAGACAGGCAAAGATAACATCCCAAAGAGAGAACCTTCAGCTTGATTTACAGGCACTGTCTTGGAGCCAAAGGAGTGTGGGACTTTGAAGATGCAAGTTTGAAAGCTGGGCAAAATAATCTATGCCAAGTGCTTCCAAAACAACTTAATAAGGAATCATAAACCCTGAAAGACTCCAGGTTTTGCATCAAGAAAAGAACACTGTGTACCAAATGCTGCATCACAAGGTAGGTTTCAAAACAAGCTGTTTTTTTAAAAAAGGAGTCAGAGTCTGTATTTCTGTGGTAAGTGTCTAAGGATGTAAGTTACAAAGGCAAATAGCATTTCTGGCTGTCACGCTGAGCCCCTCTACCTGCGCTCCAGCAAGCTGTGAGCCTCATGTGTAAGATGGGCATGCACAGCAGG